TCGATGGTGCAGATGGATTTCCGGGGAACGAGTTAGACTGCCCATAGATGCGCAGGAGCACATAGCACTTGGTGGCCAGAAGAGGGGCAAACTGTCGCTTAATTGGAAATTGTGTATTGTTTTGAGAGAGCTGCAAAAAGCGGAGATAGCACAATGTGCTCGGTCATTTTTCTGCGAACGGCCAAATATTTCTGTACATGTCCATTAGAATTATGGAAAGCACAAAGGAATACTCCCTGCCAATCGTTTAAAAGATTCATCTTTATTTATCGACTTTATTATCATTTAAAACTCATATTTAAAATTAATGTTGGAAAAACTGAACTTTTGTGAATCTGTATCATTGTATCAATTGATACTATTGAATTCTGTTAAACATAGTGTGTTAAAACATAATTAAATAAGTCCCCCGGCGTACACTTAAAGCAATTGCCCTTTGAAATCCCCTTCCAAACCATTTCATGCTGTCTCCTTGAGGGCCTTAAAATACATTCTCATTCTTCTTTACCCTCCACCTTGCTTATTAACTGAATGCGAATGACTCCAGACTCCAGACCTCGAAAAGAATGCGTCTAATCTATTCAAAACTCGCATGGAAGACAAAAAATAATAATTTTAACCGAAAACGGGACATAAAGGATGCGGATACTTATCCGCAAAGAAGGGACGACAGCCCGACTGCCAAACTTGCTTTCCGCTGATGAATGGCGAATGCATTCTCCTCTGCTAAACAACTCGACAACCGCCAATTGCGGACAGGAGGATGGATCCAGAAGGGATAAAGCTACCCACCGATGCGGGCCACAGATAAATTTTTTAAAATTAAATAGACAAAACCCCGGGCGGCATACATGCTCAGAAAGCATATTACCGGAAAATTTCGCCAACTCCTCGGCGGAATACACATGCAAATTCGACCCAAACAGAAAATCTCATTACGATTTCAACGCGATCAGACAAAGCGGCATCAGCAGGAAGGCAGCAAGCAGCGGAAACCCTGATGATGAAATGGATTTTTATCCCAAAACAGGACACGGCGAAGGAAAAAACACGTAAAGGAATAAGGGAGAATAGAATTATGGAAAAAGAAGGGCAGCCCGCAACAAAAACGTCAACAATGGGCCGCTTTTATGGCTCTCGACTACTGCGTACTTATTATTTCAACTGAACGCTCGAGGCATGCTAAATGGTATTTGAGAATGTTTTTCGTTTTGTGAGCACATTTAAATCAAATATTTTCTGATGAAAGGTAAGGGAAAGTAGTTCGATCAAGGGACTACAGCCAAGTCTGCTCTCTACAGGGTACGAAATAAATCACGACTCAGCAAAAGACCTGCTCCTTCCGCACTCCGCTTTCCGCCAACAACAACAAGTGCATGGGGCGAGTTGGACCTCGACGCGTAAAAAATGCAAATCCCAAGTCAAAGCTTAGCGCCGCAGCCCCCGTACGTGGCAACCTGGCAACATACGTGCCACCACCCCCTTTACACGCCCCCCTACACACACACACACACACACCCACACAAGCACAGAGATTTGAGTAATGGATGAAAAAAGTCCTACGCAGGAATGGAATTTCAAAACGTATGTCCCAGCATAATGCAACACACTCCAGCGGATCTGGTCAGTCGTTGGAGGGGGCAGCAACAATACAGCGTGGGGAGCGGGATTCAATAAAAAATAACATAAAAAATTGAGAAAGCCATGGAACTGAAGGCCAGCTCGGGGTCGGGAGTGTCTCTCCAGGAAGCACGAGGCTGGAGGACCGACTGGGAGCTCCACTCTCCGGATCAATGACGAAAGTGCGGTGAAGTGTAGTGCAAACAATGGCAGAAACCATAAGCAAATGGGGCACGAGATGTTCTTATGCTGGCCGTCCGGCAAAGAGAGGCAAGTGAAAAGTGTATTATGAATCCCCTTACAGTTGCGGTCAAAACAGTAGCAGTGACACGAATTTTATTATCTTTTCAATATGAACAGGACCGTTTTATTCCAGTTCATTATAAGTTTATTAGCATACCTGATTCCCTTCTTTTACATCACTTTGCCAAATTATCAAATTGGGTAAGTAAGTAAGTAAATAAGGGTAACGAAACCATTCAGCTGAATTTTTCTATTCTACCTAATGAGTAATCAAGAATTACTTGATTATAATCAAATAAATATATTTGAGTTACTTTCAGATGTTCGCACATCTCTCTGGATTCTATTTGAATTTCTTTCAGTCGGGCTCCCGAAGTTGATTGAATGCCATGGAATGCCATTGGACCGAAAGACCCATTTGCAGAGCAACCTATCAGTTTTCATTGCCACGGAGCGCTGATTAAAAGACGCTTCCGCTGTCCTCGAACAAAGGCGCCCGGAGACGCGTCTCGCGCAGAGGAGTCCTCGATCCTTCGACCCTTCCGCCAGCAGAAGGCCGTGCTCCTTCTCGAGGCCTAAACAGACGTCGAAATGATTGCCATTACACGGGGGGCCATCAGCTGAACGGGAACTGCGAGTGGAGCTCGTGGGAGGACAGACCAGCGGGGCAAATCGTTCCGGCGGATAATGGTGGGATGGACTGATGGGCAGTGCCGCCCCAACCCGTCAGCCGCACGCTTGTCCGCGGAAAAAATACTGGAAAAGGATTGCTGCCGCAGTGGAGGAGGAGGAGGGTGGGTGCGGTGGGCCATGTGAAAAGCGTCGCCGGTTCAAGCTCAAGTAGCCTGTGCGAGCCATTTTTTCCATTTGGCCATTGTTTTGTTTTCAACTTTTGCTCTATTTCCGCCATCGCCGCCGCTGTCTGGCTGACGTTTTAGCGCGGGTTGTTATCCTGAAAGGGGTGGAGGGGGGGGGGAGGAGGTCGGACCCATGCGGTTGTCAGTTGCTTTATGAGACGCCTCCGCTGGTCCTTTGTGCCGGCATTCTGCATGCAAAGTGAAAATGTTGTCGCTGTTTAATGTCAAGCGTTGACTTTTTCGTGGCAGCTCGAAGGACCATTGCTGACCACTCTGCTGTGCACTTTGACCCTCCCCCTTTTCCCCGAAATGTTTGCAGTCGATTTCATGGCCTGCGAGGCTGAGGTACCTGCGATTTGGTAGGAGTGCCTTGGTGGATTTGGCAGGGTAAGCTCCAATTGGCGGGTGCTTAATCTGCGGGACTGGATTGTTTTCCTACACAAATCAAATCGACACTTTTTAGGATTTTATGCTTTTAAATTCTACGAAGAAGTTGCAGTAAGACAAAGTAAGTTTTATATATTAAAGAGGAAGAATTTCCCACTCTCCACTTTGGAAGCTATGCATCATTCAGTATTCGGGGTTCTATTTATTTTTTTCTGTTTCGGGATCTCATTTATGGTAGGTTGTTTGCGTTGCATTCGTGGCGGAAAATAAAAAGACATATTTTCCGAAACGAGACATTTTTGGCTTCGTTGTCCCAAAAATATTTTAATATGTAAATAATACTATGTACCTTCGTTCTCACACATGCAGGAATATATTCAGATATACTGATATATACCAACGCCATGGAGCAGGCCCAACCCAGTAAAAGCTTCAGTTTTAATATTACTTTTTTCCGTTTCTGCCACGTGTGGCTCCATCTGTGAGTGTGTGTGTGAGTGAGTATTTGCATGTATATGTGGTTGCTACGCCCTTTTCGGACACTGCATTTTTAATATAATTTTTGCGGCCCCCTCCACCTCCTGTCCATGCCAATCCTTATCCCATTCGCAACCCCACGGCGCAGTTTTTTCCATTTTTTTTCACAGCCTTGTTGTTATTGTTGCCCAAACCCCTCCCTCCCCCTTTCCGTTCCCCTTCCACCCACCCCCTCCTCTTCCCTCTCACCGACAACCTTGTTTGCAGTGGGCGTGCATATGTGTATGTACTTATTTTCCATTTTTTTGTTCATATGTGCCCAGATCTGATTCTTTGGGGTTGGTTCCCGCCCACCGGCGACTGTCCGGTTTGCAGGTGGTCCTGCCGCTGCATAAGCGGCAAATGTTTGCGATTCTTTGCTGTACCCCTCAGTTTCGAGATGAAGAGTATATTGTAATCGCGGAAATAAAGAGTTTTAGACGGAGATTCCCTTCGGATAAGGGAATACTTAGTGTTCGAACGCGCCTCAAAAAATTAAATAATCGATACAATGGTTTTATAAGTCTTTTGCAGGTTTAGGAATCTTTCTAGGAATATTATTACCAGGAAACTAAAATTTTAATGATCAGAATACATATTCTATCAAGTCAATGCGTATGGGTTTCCCATAGTCGATTACACCCTTCATACTTGTTTTTGTTTATACTTCATAATTTTTCTGCATTTCGGAAGGAGTGGGCGTGGCGGAATTGGGCTGAGAAGAGGGGGTGAAAAAAGGTTGGGGGATGTAATAAGCAGGCGTCGTTGTCACGCGTAGAGTTAACCGAGAAGAAGAAGAGAGGGGAGTACCAAGGATTTTTTACTGAAAACCGGACATTTTTTGCCGCACAAGCAAAAAGTGTTTTAATGAATTTTAATACAGGATGGGGATGATATTGTTTTTTAGTGTTTTTAATTAATTAAAAATATAAATTAAAATTGCATTATATTATAATTGAAATGGAGATGGGTGTAAATACGGAGAGGTAAAACAGAAGGGAAAGAGAAACCAGAACACAAAAAATAATCACTCATGAAGAAGTTAAAACAAACAGTAATATACAAAACAAATATATATTTGTATGGGACGATATTTAAGGATAAGAGCAAAAACCCTTTTAAAAGGACAAAAAATCAATACAGAATAACGATATCTATTCATAATTAATCGCTGATGTCGAGGTTAAAATCTTATGACCAAAGGTAAATCGAAAAAGTTGTTGAACACTTTCTGCGATTCTCGTTTTTTTTTTCGAATAAGCCATAATGTGATACTTGCACCGTCCAATAAGTTCCGCAAAAGTTTTGCGGAAAAGGTGGTGGGTCATTATTGTATGCTCCCTCCGTTTGGATATGAAAAACACCGAATCGATCGACTACCGAGTAATTTTCCTCTGTGCACACCTGTGGATCGTCTCGAAGGACCGCCAGTCAACCCAAGTAACCCAAACCGCTCCCGCTCTTCGGCGAACTTCAACTCGGCCTGACCACGAAGAAGGGCTGCTCCGCGGTGGGGCAGACGACCCGCTCGAACAGGCGGGGGATCACCGAGGGGCGGGGCTTCTGGTCGTCCGGCAGGAGCATGCTGTTCCACAGCAGGTTCGAGATGATCGCGTGGCCGCGCTGGCTGAAGTGGAAGCAGTCGTGGGAGAAGAAGCGCCAGTCCGTCTGCCCGTCGGGCAGCTTGGGGGCCGTGATGTTCGTCAGCAGCGGGTGGGCGACGACGGCGAAGTCCGGCCGGTGGAACTCGGGCAGCCGGGCGATCTCCACGTCCAGCTGCTGCCAGCGCAGCAGGGTCTGGCGGCGCTCCGCCAGCTGGGTGCGGTTGAGTCGGTCGTTGACGAGGCAGTGGCAGCCCACGCGGTGCACCACGAAGCACTGCAGCGGCACGTGGGTCATGGTGCCCAGCACCTGGGGGATGTTCGGCACCCCGATCAGGTTGACCAGCAGGCGCGGCACGTGGTCGCGGAGCAGCCGGAGGGCCTGGCGCAGGTCGCGGGCGTGCTGGTCGAGGAAGGCCTGCGGGCTGTCCCAGTGGCAGAGGTCCGAGCAGATGTCGTTGTTGCCCACGTAGACGGTGAGCAGCTTCCAGTGGCGCTTCATGTCCACCCGGGGGTCGCGGCGCAGCAGGTCGACCAGGACGCGCGCCTGGAAGGGCAGGTCGCGCGACATGACCATCGGCTCGGCGATGTTCAGCCGGGAGGAGCGGTGGTTGACCACCAGGCTGTTGCTCACCGCGAAGCCGTACAGCTGCGGGTTGAAGACCTTCAGGATGTTCGGCAGGGTCACGAACCGCCGCCAGTCGGCCACCCCGCCGCCCGAGAAGGCCAGTCCGCGGAACTCGTTGATCATGTCGATGAAGTTGTTCGACAGGATCCCGTTGCCCGCGGAGAGCGAGTCTCCGAAGGCGGCGATGATGTCGATGTCCCCGGGCCGCAGGCGCTCCACAGAAGTGGGCGGGTCCGAGGAGCGCGTGTTGTTCGTGGGACAGAAGAAGGGCACCTTCTTCGGCACCAGCGACTGCAGCTTCCCCTCGCGCCGCCCGCGGCTGCTCAGCGCCTCGATGTTGTTGAGGGCCCAGTTCAGCGTGGTCTGCCTCGTGTTCACGAACAGGTGCCGCAGGTCCTGGTCGATGTCCGTGTACTGCGGGATGCCGTTCTCCAGCGCCCGCGGTTCGAAGGCCGTGGCTCGAACACCGATGTCGGCCAGGAGTTGATCGGATCGGTTCTGTCGCCGGACGCGCCGTTTTGCAGAGACCCCGGTCGATAGTAGTAGGAACAATAAAAGCAGCTTGTAGTTGATGTTCGTCATCTTCGCGGGTTAAGTGTAGGCACCACTAAGACGAGCCTTTTTCGGTGCAGGAAATCCTGGTTCTTGTCCACTTCGCAGCTCACATCCGACGAACTTCTGAACGCGTTCTCAGCCGACAGGCAAATGCGTCGATCGTTTTTAATGCCAGCCTCAATCTGTGCGACTCCGCAGGCGGATCCCCTCGAAACTCCGCTCGCAACTCGCTCTCAAATTCATTTCTTTCCATTAAAGCCAACAACAAGACCCATGCGACCGCAGAGGAAGGAGAGACGGATTGGGACGGGGCTCAGAACTTGACTTAAAAGCGTTGACCGAGACATTAACAATCATAAAAATGACAGAGCGGCCTGATAGCAGCACAAGCCTCTGGCTTCGGCCCGAGAAAAACACACACAGTGCCCTGCGGTTCAAAGATGTCGGTGAAAACAACAACCACGAAAGGCCCTAAACCAAATACAGTTTAGTGTACGAAATAATTACCTTGTGGCAAAACATGGATGCTACCAAAACATGCCGAGAAGCGCACATTTGGGAGTGTGTACAGAAAAATGAAACAATAAATATAGCGTAATTGAAGCCATAGGAGGCTGGCCCGAGCAGATCCGTCGACTTTGAGCCGGGGCTTTGAAGCGCACCCTGAACACCCTTTCCCGACCAACAACCAAAGTCTGGTCATTGGGTTAAAACTTTTGGGGGGTTTTCGGAGCCGAGATGTTGTTTTTAAGATGCGTAACCCTCGGGTTGCACCCATTTTATCGTTCTGAGTAAGTTTTCCTAAATCATTACCAGTCATATAAAGTCTTTATGACATTCCTCTCGCTTCCGCCTGTCAATACTCGTTTTAAATTATTCACATTTAGTGCTATAAAGTCAGTAATTAAATAGCTACCCGCGAAAAGAATGAAATTATTCTTAAGAACAACAATAGACACACACTTTTGAACTAGTAATTAAAATCTTCTACTGTATTCTTTGAGCGATCCCATTAAAAATTAATGTATTTAACGACGTTGAAAGTTCAATCTATTTCAAACTCAACCATCACGTCTCTGTCAAAAAAATGTATCGCCTTAGATCTCCATCTCTATAATGCAAGATATTTAAAAAAAAAAAAAAGGAAGCAAAAAAATATCTCAAAATATTTGCACATTAAGCTTAAGTAAGTTTGTAATGTAATTGTTGCTCGAAATGCTTAAAATGTTAATAGCTAATTGTTTGTTCGGATCTCTGAAAAAGTCTTGAGTGCTATGCGAAAACATATCCGTTTTGCCGAACTTGATAGCGGTTATTGCCCACACAGCCAAGACAATTTAAATAAAATATTATTAAGTAAAGTGATCTATAAATATATTGTGCGGCTCTCATGGACTGACTCACGACGGGTCTTGTTTTTTCGAGGCGTGTCAACTGAAGGCTGTGAACTTGCAAGGGGCCTGAACGTGATGGAATTTTACTCCTCGGTTCCTGCTTCCGCCTGACCCCTCCCCCTTTCCTCAACGGGTTCTGGGAAGCGGTCCTTGTAGTTGGTGAAACGTGGACTGGGAATACATAACACTCCGCCTAGATGTTTATTTGTTGGCCTTTGTAGATTGTGTTACCTTCAAACGGTATTCCAGCGAAATTATTAGTGGGTTAAAGTAAAAAGGTAGACGAAATCCGAGCAATTCTTTTTATGACATTTCGATATCAACGTGACCAAACATTACTTTTTAGAACCCCTCTTTACTGATGCACTTATTTTTACATGACCTTTTATTTTAAATAAATTATCTAAAAGTCAAAACCAAAATGTTGGTTTTTATTAAAGCACTTAAAAGTTTGAAAGTTTTAAAAACCTTTACATTTAAAAAGGCAACTTAATTGATTTTATAAGATTTACCATAAGGATTTTTCCGTAACATATTGTGTTTAAAGAAAATGGTAGATGGTTAAGAAACAAGAAAGGAAGCTAGCTTCGACAAGTTGAAGCTCATATACCCTTGCATTTATCAAATATGGGGACCTAAATACATAGAAAGTTTGGGAAAGTTCCAGTAAGACAGCATTAAAATTTAGAGACTAGTTTGCGTAGAAGCGGACAGGAAGACAGACTAAAAGACGGACAGAAGTACAGACGTACAGACGTATTTCGATGCAGATCGTAATGCTGATCAAGAATATATATACCTTATGGGGTCCGAGGTGTCTCCTTCACTGCGTTGCAAACTTCTGGCCTAGAATGATAGTCACGTCTAAACATTGCCGTTCCGATCATTAAAATAAATAGTTATTAAACTTGTACGGCTAGTTATAGCTATACGAACAATTATCACTACAGAGTACAGGGATTGGAATTTTATAATGTGTCAATTTCTAATGCAAATAGGGTAAAGCCCTTCTCACCCGGCTATAAACATTTAATGGGACGTTGATTAAAATCATTATTTATGATAGGTTCAAAGATCTCTACAGATTAATGTAGTAGTAGTAATAATAACTTAATTGCTCTGCGACGTATAGAATGGCTTTATTTTAAGCTCCCCGGAAAAAAGTTACTCGGTTTTCCCTGCCACAGTGTCGATCCCAACGAAGCTGCTTTGATTTATTTAAACTAATTGAGAGTCATTAAGTGTTGCTAAGTTAAGCTACTATTGTTTTTGTTGCAGCAACATACCGCCGCACGCAAGCAACACAATTGTGTGTTTCACGTGAATAAATGTCGTTTATGCTTATTAAATAGCGAATTGGAGGAGTCTATTGATGGCTCCCGAGTTTGCCCAAATAATATTTTATCTCGGATTAATTCGATTAAGAGAGTCTTCAAAGAGCTTTTAAGAGCGCTGTTGATCAAAAGCTCGGCTTCACGTTTAAATAAAATATAAACGGCTTTAGCGGGTTGCCAGACCGTCTTAATTTGTAAAGTTTCTTGACAATATTTATTCAGCTGAAATTTACCCAAAAACTTTCTTTCGAATAATAAATAAAAATAAAATTAGTCAAAAAACAAAACTATTAACAAATTTAAAAAATCAGAAGGTTTTATAATAAATACTTGCAGGCTAAACAACATCGAAGAAAATACGATTTTTATACCTTTGCAGAGCAAAGGGTACTATAATTTCAGTCAGAAGTTTGCAACGCAGTGAAGGAGACACCTCAGACCCCATAAAGTATATATATTCTTGATCAGCATCACGAGTAGAATCAGAATACGTCTGTACGTCTGTCCGTCTGTCCTCCTGTCTGTTTCTACGCAAAGTAGTCTCTCATTTTTAAAGCTATCTTGCTGAAACTTTCCCAAAAGTTCTGAAGTTATTGCATATAAGTCGGAGCGGGCCGGATCGGCCGACTACATCGGATAGCTCCCATACGAGAGAAAGAAATAAAAAATTCTCACACCGTTGGTTTTGATCAGATCGACTTAATTTCTTTCAGATGGCGTTAGAATACGTTAGAAAGTTAGAAAACTACTACTGAATTTCGGATTACATTTTATCAAAATCGGATATCATATCGCTGCCATAGGAAAGATCGAAAAATATATATATATAAATAATGGAAAAAAATTATAACGTCGTTGTTTTTAATCCCATGAGCATGAATAACGAACTATGGAGCTTTTTAATAACCCTTGAATAGAGAAAAAAAATTCTTTAAGATCCGACAACGTTATCATATAGCTGCCATAGGAAAGATCGAAAAATCTATACGGAAATAAAATTATAAAATAGTTGTTTTTCATCAGACAAGCATGATTTTTGGAATATAGAGTTTTCTAACGATTCTTGAATTACAAATTAAATTTTATCAAAATCGGACCACTATATCATATAGCTGCCATATGAACAATATTCGAAAATATGGAAAATTAATAGAAAAATCGTCATAGCTTCGATTTTGTTAAGCCTTTGTGCATTTTGATCGACATATTTGATGACTAAGTTTTGGCTTACCGATCTTTTGATCTTTCATATGTCAGCTTTTGAATAAGTGGTCCGATTTTAATGAAATTTTTTGCTAGATTTAAGGATAGTTAAAAAACTCGGTATTCTCCTGGGATAAAAAACATCAACTATTTCGATAGTTTTAATGAAAGCTATTTGATATAGAGCTTTTTTTTAATTTGATTTGTTATTTAAGAACCCTTAAAAATAGTATATCTCAAAAAATGTAATTTTATTCCGAAGACCAACGAAATTATTATGTTTGCTCTTTACATAATTATTAAAAAATAAATCAAAGTCTGCAAGAATACAAAAAACCAAGCTTTATACCGTTGCAAAAGAAGTGTTACAAAAATGTTAAAGTTTTGGTATTTATCAAGAACACCAGTTGCATGTTATAAATGTGTAATGTTGGCTATTATAAATATCCCAAACAATAGATTTAATTGTGGGATAATTATTGTACCAAGCAATTAATATCGTAATTACAGGAAAACATGTTTTATAATGTGAGAGAATCTTTTTTTACTTTTTTTTCTTTGCGTGAGTTCTTATCATGAACTGTAATCGATACAAGTCAAAATATAAAAGTTAACATATTCCTGCACACATATATACACACATATAGTTAACAGGTATAACAATTTATTAAAATCAATGCATTTTCAACAATAAAAAAAAATGTATATCTCATGACAACTTCTGAAACAGTTGACGTAGTGTTTGCTATCTCCTAACAGGAAACAAATAGGTTCGCATGTTGGGCTAAACCAAAGGCAACCCTCAACATGGTGGTCCGATTCTATACTTTATTTATATCAGGCAAACCTTTTTGGATAAAATAAAAAGATTCTTGTTTTATTTGAGCAAGAACATTGTTTACAAAAATAAGCATCTTGAAATTATTACTCAGTCAAATAATAGCCTTTATTAAGTGACCGTTGATGAGTTTGGTGCAGTTGATTAGCAGCGATCAAACGCTGAGCGACAGAAGGGTGGTCTCGTTAATGGTGTGGGATTAGTTAACAATTGCACAACTCTGGCTGGTTGATAAAAAGTTTGCCACATTTTCGGTACAAATTGATATTTGCCGGACCTGATAAATAGCGGCCGAGCGAAGGTGGTTGGGACAGACGGCCATTGAGCAGATGAGTCGATGAGCAGGTGAACAGGCGGTGGACGCCGCGCGTTCAACATACCCTAAGTGGGTTAGTGGTCGGCTGACCGGCTGGCTCTCTGTGATAACAAGCGGCAGCACGACCGCGGCGTGCAAACTCCAGAGCCAAACCTCACCACTTCGCCAAGCCAAGAGCGAGTGCCAAGCCGCTTGCGCAGTCGCAGCGTCAAGGTCGCCTATTGTAAAAGAAAGCGCCAGCGCTCGGCCTTGAACACGAAAATATGTTAAAAGCCAATGGCTGAAACAGGCAGAAGCCGAAGCATGAGCCAGATAAAATATGATATGGGATGAGAAGAGATGAGAAACTTGAACTTCGATTTGCCCTCTTTTGTTTCGCATGGAAACGAATGTTTCAAGTCGACAACTATCGAAATGTGAGCAAACAAGCCAGTTTGAGTGCCATAAAGTTTATGCTTGAGTAAGACACTGGACAAAGCTTAGTTTTCGAACCAATTTTTAAAGGTTTTGTTGCTACTATTTTTTAGTTTATTTTTTTCGCAAACTTGTGCAAGAGTGCAAAATAAAATCGAAACAGCATCTCGAAAACCCCAAATGTCAAAAATTGGGGTTAATCGTTGGGAAATAGGTTAATTCTGTGTGTTTATTAAACCAGAAAGATTACAGAAAAAATGTAAAAAACACAAAACACTAATTTTCTACAGTTTAAAATAAAACGAACTGTTTTTAAAGAAGCGCTTCCGTGATCAGGTAACCGACACACCTATTTGGTAAGTATTTAGAAAAGTATTTATGGAAATAAACACCCGACAAAAGTTCTGCTAAAAAAGTCAATAGTTAAATGACTATGCCCCTTCTCCTCAACTTGAACTCTTACACTTATTTAAAGACTTAAATATAAAAGATATACAAATGAGATGCCGACGATTGGACATTAACCTGCGCTCAAAGTATACAAAGTGAACTCTGTTTTATTGCTCATAGAACTAAACTTAATCTAAGTCGAAATTCTACAAACAACTAAGTGCGTTTTTTCCCTTTTGAAAAAATGATTATTTTCCCAAGTAGTTTTTAAAGCATAAGTCAGAAGTTGCGATCTTTTAAGTTGTTAGTTAACCTTTTCTAGAATTTTTTATTATATACTATACACTTAAATATATTTGCATACAACCCAATTAGTGACAGAAGTTTTCAAACGTTAAGCAACAAATTATAAGACTTTATTGGAGGAAGTTATTTTTTTTTTAGCAATTGTTCCAAAATAGCTAAGATAATATTTTCAGACTGCTAGATATACTCGAGTGATGACCGTAATTAAGAAGACAGACACCTTTTGGGGACGAAAATAGCATCTCCTGTTATATCTTAATATCGGAGTGCACTTACACGCTGTTCAAGATAGATTTCTGGGTTTATCTCAGTGTGTGTATATAGACAGCTTGAAAGCGGCACATATATTATAGTGGAAATAAAAAATATACAAGGAATTGTCAATCAATTATATCTGATGTATACATTTAAATGCGCAATTAACTGGCATATTTAAAAACGATCTCGCCGCGGAATAATAATTGCTATAAAACTGTTGTCTCTAACTATTATTCTAGTACTTTAGTGCAGGGAATAATTAGCTTCTTTTGAATCAATTAGTCTCTTGCGAACTGGTTATAGAAAGGCATAAGTTGAATAATTCATTTGACAAGTAAAAGGGTACAGTTGAATAAGCAGGGAGGCGGCAAAAGCTTTGGACAATTACACATGTGTGTTTAAAGAATTGTTTTAACATTTCTTTCTAAAAGCAGACAGTTGTGTAAGTAACCAGCATTAATGGAAAGAAAAAAGCAGACACAAGCAAGACAGGTAGCTAGAAAAAAAGTGCTGCGTTGTGCTGCATTAATAATTTTATTTCATACAATCTATCTTCATTTTGTACTCGTTATTCGAGGAAGCAACAAAAAGCGTATGTATATTTGTACGATTTATTTTCAGTACTGCTGCGAAAAGCGTCGCGACCGACGACTGGCGACTGACGAAAGCTAAGAGAAGCGGCCGCTGGCGCCGGATTCGATTTGAGCCAAGCCAAGCCGGTGGGTTGAGCTTGCGAGTACGCGATCGGCATACCACCGAGCCAGTCGAGAAACGGAGCTTGCAAGCGACACTTGTGGCACGCGGAGCAGTTCAGCCGATCCGACACTCCGAGCGTGAAAGACCGACAGAGAAAAACGGAAAAAGCCACTCTTGAAAATCGGCGAAAAGTAAAGAAAAACCACTGCAGGTTACAACAAAAATTGCAACACCAAAAGCGCGCGTGCGCAACCGATAAGTCAGAAGATAGGCGAAAAATCACTTGATTCATACGGTACGGTTAAAAAATCAACATCTTTATGTAAATCATAATAAACTTATTAAGAACGTGTGTGTAATTCAAAGCACTCAGAACTAAATGCCCATTGTGAAACGTTTATGATGTGAGAAAATATTGAGAAGAAAATAAAACAAAACGAAACTGCCCGCTAAAACTAGAGCTAACATTACTTTAAATAGCTCCATTTTATAAAAGTTTTCGGAATATACATGAAGGTTTGATACTTAAATCGGAACTGAACAAAAAATCGAATATCGAATGGGAAAAACACAAGTTTTTTGTTTTTTCCTTAGTGTGTAGGAAAAACAAAAAACTTAAGACACAAACTTTACTAGACTGCCCTGAAGCATGACCACATATGTATTTTATATGAGTGTGTGTTTTTTTTTTTGCTCGTAGAAACTCATCGGCCAAGCAGAAAATAAAATATTAAAAAATACATATTTTTAATTGTCCACACCATAAAGTAGAGAAAAACTGCGAACGACCAAATGAAACAACCATACGACAGCTGACAGTGTTTTTAAATTTCTGTGCGTTCTGTTTGCTTCTTCCAAATAAAGGTTTACCAATAAAATAAATATCAAGTGCCTAAAAAGCTCGCTAAGAGCTGGACTGAGCTCGACTGAGTCGCACAGCGGTTAAGCAATGCAAAATATTGCAACAGTTCACCATCCATTTATTTATCTTTGTGTGTTCGAGTCTCAATGATTTCTGCTTGTTTTATTTTTGGTTTTTCGTTGGGCTAGAGCAGTGCAGAGTACATGATTTTTGCTGGTAGGATGACATAAAACAGTGATTACAAATATGAAAATGCACAATCTCCAGGGAAAAAATATTTACAAATTTATTTGCACACTCTCAAAATAGTAAGATTTCTGCAGAAAAGGCACTGTGACACACAAACTGAGGGGAGGAGTTAAAGAAAATTGAACAAAACAAAACAAAATAAAATTACCACGACTAGGACAAAACGTTTAATGAAAAGCATAATGACACAAACTAACTTTTGCATGCAATGCGCAAATTTAAATTAACTGAAGCTTGGGCGAGCCTCATCGGTCTTACTCATTTACTATATTTTAACTAATCGAATGTTTTTAGAAAAACTAAATGGTTTACATCATTTTTGGAAACAGATTACTAAATAAAGATATGTAAATAAGATATTCATTAATATTTGTTTCTCAAAAATAATGTTTTTGTTCACAACCGAGATTAATTGTTAAACGAACACCTTTCGGAGGATATACTATATACAAAATAACAAAAGTAACTTTATTTGAGATATTTTTTATATATTTGAAATTACAGAGTTTCTGCTACTATAACTTTATTGAATTAAAAAATAAGAATGACTAGAAAATTTGAATTTTTGTTATGTTACATAGTTTTATTTACTTAGTGTTCTGGATCATTACACATCGTGTGTTTTTGGTTAGTTTGTTCGTTGGTATGTAACCAGTTTTTTTTAAGGCCGGAACTCTTAACTCTACAGTTTACTATTGCAAGAACTAAATGCTATTTGAGGCCTTGAAATTAAGTAAATACAATGCATACTATTATACAATTAATACGGAAAGCGTAATTTACTTTGTCGTTCTCTTTTGCAAGAAGTAAAAACTATATGAGAAGATTATAAATTAGAAACGACAAATGCGGAAAGAGTAAGCTGAGTCGAAAGGTGAATGATGCAAGCTCAGCAGAGCAATCTGATGCAGACAGCTGTTGGGGATATGTTGCTGCTTACTGCTGCTGCTGCTGGCGTTGCTGTTGCTGTTGCTGTTGCAGTTTTGACCGAAATGATTGTTGCGGCATTATATAAGAAGTGGCCATGCCACAAAAACGATGAAAGAGAAAGAAGAAAATTGTGGAAAAGACTGAAAATGAGAAGGAAGCAGCTGGTGGCAGTTTCGGTGGGCAGCTGGCCAGCGGGAGCGTGGAGAGATGAAGTTGCGCCTGCAAGTGTTGCACGGACTAAATACCCACTAACACTGGAATAAGCCAATGGGTTCGGGTTTGCTGATATCGATGGCCCGCTAAACAAGCCGTTAAACTGCATCAAGGTACCAGCCAACTTGCTGGCCGTTTAGCAGCGTGTTTGGCAATAACTGTGTACTCTATTGGCCATGCTCGTGGCTGTGTTCTTGGGGCCGAGAAAGCAGTTTGGGGACTGCCCCTCTTTTCTAAGCGGCTCATGGCCGCAAGCGCGGCTCGATTGCAAACATTGCAAAGCGTTGGCAAATTAAATGCGACTGCAGACGCAGACAAGATGGAGGCAACAGCAACATAAAGGCATCAATAAATATCGCTGGCAATTTTCGGAGCCGCTCGCACTTGAGTTACAACGTCAGCAACGCAGTCCGTTAACCAGTTGGCAACCTTGATGTTCGTTGTTTTTGTCGCTTCTTGGTTTTTTCGTTTCGTTAATTATTTGGGGTTTTTTTTTATTTTATTATGGCAGGTGTCTGTTTTGGAAAATCGATTTTATATACGAAAACAATTCGTTTTGAGCATGGTTATTCCGAATCTAAATAATCGCGCTAAACTCGACCAAATGATTCATACTTAAGCTTCGTTGTTGGTCGGTAGAAATCACTTTTAAATGATATATATGCTTACAAAACTTTCGTAGTTATTAAACGAGCATAGTGGACCATGTCGTAGGGTTAAGGGTTTCGAGTTATACCCAACCCAAACCGCAATGCTTATAAAAACAATAAAGCATAAACGACATTTAGCTGAAATCGTTGTCCTTTGCATCATGATTTGCAACATTAAGCAAGCGGCAACAACACAACTGTGAAAACAAGGCATAAAGTTATGACCACGACTGTGTGTTACTAACCTTACTCAATTAACTTTTTGGGTAAACATTTATTTTTTCTCTCTTTAGGTTATACTTTCGAACGCTTTTTGGGCGTTTTTCTTTTTTTTTTTCAACTTTACAGTCGATTTTGTTGTTGATTATGTATCTACCTATGACATGCTAAGATAACTATATGAGTAAGAGAGAAAAATACATACAAAGTTACAAATGCAATGAAGTAACTAGTTTTATTTTTGGCTTGAGACTAAAACACGAGTTACCGCTCAAAGTGGGTCAAAGCCTTATTAGCGAGGTCACATATTCGTATGTATATACACGGGCATATTGTTTGTTTTTAGGAATTTCTAATGTTTGCCACAAAGGAAAAAAGAATAAAAAAAAACTATCAATACTATTTATAAATAAACAACTACACGAAAATGCTCAGTAAGCAATTAGGGAAAACAAAATTTGTATGTCATATATTATATGATGATTCATATATGAATCACAGTTCCGTTTCAGCGTAATAAGTTTAATCTGTAAAGTTTAAACATTTCCGTGCTAAATTTTCGCAGGTGTATGCAAACAGAAAGGCAGGTACAAGGGTTGAGAATACTTAACTTGACCTTTGCCGTATAGGGAAGGATGAAGTGTTATAGTTCCGGCGTTTCGTTTGGCTTGGATATATAACAGCAAAGCTTTAGCAAATAAAATCATCCCAAATGAGATGAGTTCGTGTTAAGTTATGTGCATTGCAAATGGCCATCTATTATACTTTTGTTCCCTACGAGTACCGAGCCTAAAAAGGTTGCAAAACAAATAACTTGAATTCGACACATTCAGTCGTTTCCTTAGTTTTCTAATAAGATGCCGATACTTGACTATTGAGGTGTAACATTTGTTTTCACGTTCTGAAGTTTTTTCTTCAAATGCAAGTGCCAGTCTCTAACAATTTTCAAGTTACGTTTACCATTCACCCCTTAAGCCCCTTGCTCAACACCAATTTGCAAGGTGTTTATTAATTCTAAATGCATTTGTACTGATGTTGATCTTTGGGTATAAATATGTACACCTATGTAGAAACGTGTTTATTATTCAAACCGTTTCTGTGCCTCTTTATCAGAAGCTCCGCACAGCTCAGTCAGCTAATGGGGAGTCCCAAGCTAAAGACTTTATATAGTGTAATATCTTCCCTCCGATCATTTCAATACAATACCCACCCGGTGCTTATATACTACCAAACAATGATGTTGTACTTTAGAATTTTAGTAGCCAATGCCAAGATGTGCAATACGACTAGCAGATATAAACCAATTATCAATCAAATGTCAAAAGAAGCCGAACTGTATTCTTTTTGGCGGAGGCCAATGAACCACGATTCTTGGTTTAATTAGTACGAACATGCAGCTTTTTCTACCTCTTTTTGTCTAATTAGCAAGTAGTTGAGGCACACACGAAACCCGAAATAAATTTTGGACCGGACAAGTGCTTTGAGTGCCTCGACACGTGCATGTCATAAAGCCTAGCGAATCAATAAAATACATAACCAAATCAAGAAAACGCGAATTGTTGACGCAAGTGATTTATGGTGATCTGAGTAGCGTAGGCAAAAATATATAAGGGGGTCCTGCATATGAGTAATATAACTGGATAAATTGAGAATTCCGTAAGCTAGAGGATTAAATATTTTGTACCTAAAAAACTAAAAATATCATAACAGATAGGCAGTACGATTAAGCAAATGTTAATCAGTATTAATTTATTCTTATTTTCTTTGCAGAACATAAGGCAATATGGCGGCTGTTGAGGTGAGGAACGGCTACAAGTACTATGGCTCCAAATCGAACCCGAAGATTGTGCTCAACCAGCTGAACATGAACGTGATGCGGGGTTCGATGTAAGTGACTACTAAATTAACCCTGCCAGACCCATTCTAACTGATCCGTGCCCCAACCAGATATGGACTGCTGGGCGCCTCCGGGTGCGGCAAGACCACCCTGCTATCCTGCATCGTCGGCCAGAGGCGCCTCAACGGAGGCGAGGTCGCCGTGCTGGGAGTGAAGCCGGGCGAGCCGGGCAGCGGAGTGCCGGGGTCCCGCGTGGGGTTCATGCCCCAGGAGATCGCCCTGGTCGAGGAGATGACCGTCAAGGAGACGATCTTCTACTTCGGGCGCATCTACGGCCTGACGGACGAGCGCATCCGGGAGAAGTTCAAGCTGCTCAAGGAGCTGCTGCAGCTGCCGCCGGCGAGGCAGATGATCAAGCAGTGCAGCGGGGGGCAGCAGCGCCGTTTGTCCTTCGCCTGCGCCATGATTCACGACCCGGAGCTCCTCATTCTCGACGAGCCCACTGTGGGACTGGACCCCATGCTGCGCGAAAAGTGTGTGAGCCGAAAGCCATCGGATTGCCCGAGTCTAACTTTAATCTCGCCCCTCTAGAATCTGGGACTTCCTCGTGGAGACCACGAGAAATAGCAAACTGGCTGTGATCATTACCACCCATTATATAGAGGAGGCCAAGCAGGCGAACTGCGTAAGTGAAACCAGCATCCCACTGATACATATGGTCTCAGAGTTAACTCCATTACTTCTTTTAGATTGGTCTTATGCGCAATGGCGTGCTTTTGGCCGAAGACACTCCCACCAACATCATGATCAAGTTCGGCACCCAGTCGATCGAGGACGCCTTCCTCATTTTGAGCCAGCGGCAGGGCAACGAGGACGAGTTGGCCCAAATCATGGATCACAGCAAGAACCACGCTTTGCAGGCAGCTGTGCTCCCCCGGAGGTCATCGACAGCCACGAGCCCAACACGCCTGAGAAGCAGCCCATCCCCCTCGAAGAGCTGCCGAACGAGAACCGCAAAAAGATTTTTTCACCACCAAGGGCAGGGTCAAGGCACTGATGACAAAGAACTTTGTGCAGCTCTTCAGGCAGCCCTCGTAAGTCAAGCTCTACTTCGAAGAGGAACTTCAACTTAATGGTTACATCCCTTTCAGAGGCATCATTTTCATGCTCCTGTTCCCCATCATCCAACTAACGTGCTTTTACCTGGCCATTGGCAAGACGCCCACGAACTTGGAGATAGGAGTGTACTCCGGCGAGGTTGAGAGCTACGGGGAGTGCTTCGACGACAGCCTGGTCACAGTGTACAAGGAGAACGATAGCTGTCTGTTCCACAAGCTCTCCTGCAGGTACATCCGCGAACTGGGCGACGATGTGGCCACCCGAAAGTACTACTCCAGTGAAGCGGATGCCCTGAGAGATGCGAAGCGGGCCACGACCGTTGGCTACCTGCACTTTGCCCAGAACTTCAGCGAATCGATCCTCTCGGTGTTGGAGGACGGAATACACACCGACGACGGAGCCGTGGAGCACGCCGAACTGAGCATCCACATCGACATGACAGGTAAGAAGGAACGTTGCCAAGCCTTTTAACCCTAAGAATCTATTTCGCAGACCAACAAGTGGCGTACTTCATGCAGCGAAAACTGCGCGACAAGTTCAGCTCTTTCATGCGAAGTGTTGTCGAGGACTGCAATGTTTCCGCGGCCATCGTTGACCTGCCGGTCCAGTTCCAGGAACCGATCTTCGGCACCGCAGACATCGAGTTCCAGCAGTACTGTGCCCCGGGTGTGGTCATGACGTGAGTAGATTGTCCACGAAATAGACCTTTGAACTTCCTCTCACATGTTTGCTTTCTTTGTTTTATGAGCTGATATCATTCATCGCGATACATATTCTTCTACTTCGTTGGGTTCGGTACTTCGGTTCTTCAGTTTACCCCTCTTTAGACACACAACTCAGAACTTTCACTCACTGCTTATTGTTACTTACTCCTAGCATGGTGTTCTTCCTGGCAACTCTGATGACGGCGGCAGTCTTCATTTCGGAGCGCATGGACGGCATTTGGGACCGCACTCTCTTGGCAGGTGTTTCGGCTGCCGAAATGCTATGGGCCCACCTCCTAACCCAGCTCATTATCATGGCTCTGCAGTCATTCGAGGTTATTATGTACATCGGCCTGGTTTTCGATACCTACAACAACGGCGATACCACGACGCTCATTGGATTGCTAACGCTGACCGCTTTTTGTGGGATGTTGTTCGGTGGGTAAAGAAAAAGTTTAACAAAGGGGCCGTTTAAAAACATTAACTCTTTCAACCAGGTCTCTTCATATCTGTGTTTTGCAAATCGCATACTGAGGCCAACTTTGTAGCCACTGGCGCTTTTTACCCAATGATCATACTTTGCGGTAAGTGCAGTCATTTAATTACCTATTGTAATCACGATTATGATCATTATAAAACAATTCAATTTGCCAACGCAGGACTTCTGTGGCCGCTGGAGAGTATGCCGCAGTTTCTGCAGGACCTGGTGATGGTGCTGCCCTTCACCATACCCTCTATATCAGCTCGAAACGTAATCGAAAAGGGCTGGAGCATCACCCACGAGAAGGTCTACAATGGCTTCTTGGTCATGGCAGGCTGGACGATCATTTTCTTTGTTCTGTGCCTGATCGGCATCCGGCGCAAAGCGTAAGCCCGGACCCTGGGATGTTCTTTAATATTAGGGGGTCTTCCATTTAGTTGTAATGTACTAGCATTTTTTGATAGGTGATCTTATGTGCATATCGTTTAATTTAATTACTATCGGAAGCATATCACTCGCATGTTTAGACTCTCATCACGTAAGGGAAACACATTCATACCAACGAATTGTAACGCATTCTTGGACAGTCTTCACATAACGTGTGGACTGCACTAAAATCAGCATAAGGTCTTAGGGGTGTCTCACAAAAATATTTATAATTCACAGAACAACTTATCGTTCTCATGGAAATCAAAAATTTCGTAATTAAAAATGAAAAACTAACTCACTTAACCTAATACTAGAAGTACATTCTTGTCCACATTCAGAATGTGGATATCATGTATATAGTGTAAAAGTGTAAAATTATGTAAATCGAAATTTTAAATCAACCAAAAATAAAACCTTAAACATATCGCCTTCAAGAACACATGATTGGGTGAAAGCATTAAAATTTTCAACTTAATTAAATATGGCATTTAAGCACCAAATACTTTTGTTAGGGCTCTTGCAGTTTCTTAATCATTTAGTAGGTTTACAATTTTAAATATCTCGCAGCAAACCTAGCAAAAAGAATTAAGTACATATATTTCCCACGACAACTTTTACAGCCAAAATGTTAAAAATAAGAAAAGGTATAGTTACATAATTATATATTTTGTTAGTTTTTCTTAAATTTATTTGTTTTTTTTTATTATTATTTTATTAATATTATTTACTTGTAAAGAGTAGGTTTCAGGTACTGTCAACACATATTTCTTGGTTATCGTAATGTGAAATTTAAAGCGCTAAACTAAAGCCCACTAAAGCTTTTTGTGCTCGTATATGCAGATATATATAAATGAATATGTTTGCTTCTATATATAATATTGCCTATGATTGTGTGTGGGCCAAGGACAAGGACACACTCACGACGACGATGTCGAGGACGAGCCAAAGTTGCTGACACACTTCGGGCTCGAAAGTGCTAGACAAAATGTCTACCCGGCTGGATGACTCCCCCTTGCCCTCTTCCTGTGTCTGCCAGACATTTTTATTACAAAACTTTATCTTTGCCAAATACGGAAGCGAGGAGAGGGAAAATATAAAAAGCCAACCTCGGGCTTCCTGCTTGTGTGTGCGTCCTTGTGGGCGGGTGGGTGCGTTAAGTGATGAGTGGCGCAAAGTTTAGTTTCACATTTTATATAACTTGCTTTAAATGTGCAAGCTGGAAGAAGCAGTCGCAGTGTGCGCAAAACTACAGAGATAGCATGTACAAATATGGCTTTTCTTATTCGAGATGGCAGTTAAATAAGGACATTTAATAACGAGGGTTTTTAATATATTTTATGTTGTGTCACTCTCACAAAATACTAAGTAGTATATGTAGCATTTGAAAACAATTATATCAAATCCCAATTTGAGTTATTATTTCTTGTTTGGCCCCAAATGAATTATCTGAAGTATTTTTTATGGTCAATCCTTTTTTAATGTTCATTTTTTCAATACCTATCGACGACCACAACACAAAAAAAATTTTAACGTTAAATAAAACTTTTTAAGAATCTTCCCGCCTGGCACACAAAACGAAGCTTTTTCTGGAAAACCCACGAAGCAACAACTTGAAATAAAAACAATGGGTTGACAACAAACAAAGTTGAATGCCTAGGTCAAGGTGCCCGAAAGTAGGCAACGGAAAAGTTTTCTCAAGCGTTGACTCCTAAAACAATTTGGGGCTAAAAACGTTGAACTTTAAACAAGAATAGAGAAAAAAGCAGACAATATCCACAAACTGAAACGCCCTCCCCTTCTGAACACTTTCTCTGGAGTAGAGGAAATGTTGTTACAACTTTTGCCCCATTTTATGTGCACACATATAAAATTTAGGTTTAAACTAGCAAGAGAAGGACGAGAAGTTGAAAAGTTAGCAGAATGCTTTAGTAATTTGACCTTCAAACAAGTTGAACAAACTCAACACAAGCAAATACAATACTCGGGCACAGACAACAAAAAGCCGAATTCTGAGGGAAAAGTGTAAATATTTAAACGTAATTTTGTTTGGTTGCAAGGTTGCATTCAAAGTGTTAGCAGAAGGTGACCATTTAAGGTATTTGTTTGGGAATTACTATTAAGGAAGTATTCATATTTAAAAAGATTGTTAAATTCTTATTTATGTTACGAGAGGATACATATTTACAATAAAAACTATTTATATGCTAATAATGCTTAAATGCTCCCCCGATAACTAAATAAAAAAAATAATAATTACCCGGTAAAAATATCAATGATAATCAATGATAAAAATATCATATATTATAAATAAGCTGAGTTGGTAGATATCAACTGCTATTAATTCGTTGTGTTAAATACCATCATTGGTTAATCAAAGAGCAATTCCAATACGAATTCCATACAAGTCGTAAAAATGAACCGGGCAAAAGTAAATAACATCCATTGATCGACGTCTAACTTTTAAGCATCGAATGAGGGGCAATATTTTGTAAAAATAAAATGAAAGATGACACAATTGAGCTTCGAGGCAAACAGTTTGCTGGGGTCCACAGCTGAGAAGGACCCAAATCATTGCCGACTTTTGCATTTCATTGACCCTTTAAATGGCTAAGATACACACAGATGGCACCGCCCACACACTCTTCCGCATGTCAGTCAAAGTTCTTTCTCTCGCATGGAGAAAAATTTGATTTGGGGAGTTTATTCAATTTGCTGCATGTGGGGCTGCCTAAAGGGGGCTTCTCATGGATACACACTCGCCCGCACACTGGCATTTAAGTGCACGTTGTTCGCTTGATGTCTGACGGACAACCAGAGTTATGGCAGTGGGTGGCAGAATGGGCCGGTCCAAGTTTCAGGTGGATCGGGCCGGGGAGAGCGCTCTGAACTCTGCCAATATAATACAATCAACGTTGGACTTCGATTCGATGCGCATTCGATGCGTTTGCCGCTTGCGAGGCAGATGAGGTGGCTTTCCGTCCAGCTACCGATGCGTAGGCCCACCCACCTTCCCAACCCCACTTGCAACAGCCACCAGCCACCCATCACCAGCCACCCACTTGTCCGCCCCCTCAGAAACGCACACAGGCAGACTTGGTTTTTGCTCTCATGTGCAACGCAAAGGAGGCCCATGTACATAGGCTCGTTTCACTCGCTCGCCCGAGCCTTCGGTCCGATTTCTCTCCTTCTCGCTCGCTCCCTATGTGGCATGTCCTGTGTTCCGAGTGCCTCGTCCTGCACTCCGCCGCGTGGAGTGAGGACACGGAGGCAGCTGGGGTCCCGGCCACACATGCGTTTGGCCTTTTGCCTGGCACACATAGCAACAGCAGCAGCCACTACATCAGGTTGCTGCAGCAGCAACAACAGCAGCAGAAACAACAACAGCAGTAGTGGCAACAGCAACAGAAATGTCGCGCTGTGTTTCAATCGTTCTATATGGCACAACTGCTGATTGGGTTCGCACAGTGGGCTAAGTTAGTTTGTTATACAACAAAAAAAATTTGAACTGGGTATGCACAAATACTACTTTATATGCGGTTATTCTGGTGCGCAGCTTATATTATAAAACGAGTCAATGGATTATTTTTATTACTAACCATTTGGTTTTGCTCTTGAAATTTTAAAATTAAAAATTGTGTAAAGAAAATCCTAATTTTCATAAGGTTTTGAAGTATCTATGTATAAGTAAAACTAAATATTTCATAATATCCTGTGTTAACTAATAATGCTCAAAGAAAAAGGGGACTTTACTGTGTTTGTGAAAGAAATATAACCATAGCTTTTACATTCTATACTATGGTAAATAGTCGAATCAATCCTTGTTTGTTTGTTTATTAGGGATCAATTCTTTTATTGAAAGAAACCAAACATGTGATATACTAGTTTAATTTAAACAAGAGATCCACTAAGATCTCCAAAATATAATTGACAGTTGGGATTTCAAGTGCAAAGTCCTTTTTTATTTCGACCCACTGTGCACAAAAGGCACTGCTCAAAAAACGTCAGCCAATGCAGCGACCAGAAAAACAACAACGACAACGGCGGCAATACATGCGTGGGGAAAAGGCGCGAGGAAAGTGGGCAGGGGGAAAGGTGGAGAATTCCAGGGGTGGGATGGGGTGCGAATGGAATCGTGGACGGCGACGCTGGCGAAAATGGCGGCAGCCACAGCGACAGCGACGCAGCCTATTTCGGTGGCCAGAAATATAAAAAAGGGGCGTAGACGGGGGTGGCCGGAGGAGCGGGTCGTGGAGCTGAGGGACAAAGTGCAATTCGCCAGAGAGCGAAAGAGAGAGAGGACCGCATGGGTGGCAAGGGGCTGGGGGATGTGGGGAGAGGCAATACACACACACACACACGAAAGTGCAGTCGGGAGAGCGGGAGCAAAAAGGAGGAGATGCATACACTCGCACACACGTGCATTGAGGACTATGTACGATCCGGATGTTGTGTATGTATTTCCATTGACCAGGACTCCCTCTCTCTCTCGTTCTCTCAGCCCATCTCCTTCTGGCCTGCTCGCTTGTTTACCAATTTATTTTGCGCACAATGCGAAACACGGAAAATGCATGAAGCCACCGGCTGACGTTCCACGCCGACCACCACCCACCACCCACTACCCACCACCCAGAAAAAGCCCCTGATGCGTTCCAACCGAACGCAATGATAGCCACACAGCAGAGCAGGCCAAAAGCAACAACGAGGAGCGGTGCGAAAAAATTGCAGAAATTCCAGTTCGATTTTTGGCCATAATGCAAAAAGCACTCCGCCCTGCTCGCTCCTTCTGGCAAAATACGAGCGTATCTTCCATCTCGGTCGCTTTTGCATTCTGTGGCTGCTGCCGCTGTTTGTTGTTGTTCTTCGTTTGCCACTTTGTGCGGCATTTTCCTCTTCCCCGCTTTTCCGGCTTTTCCCAGGTTTTTAGACTATCCCCATTTTTTCGGGGTTTTGTTTGCTTTCATATCCTTTGCAGGCCGCGACTTTTACTTTGATGGAACGGGCGTCGAGTTTTGTTTGGTTCCTCTTTCTTTGTTGCCCCCAAACTTTGGGTAAAAAAAGGAGTTGGTGGTAGTACACACTCGTAGTGAGTTTTTGTGCCCCATGTCCTTCGTAGTAGTTGGTACTCGTGATCCGAAGTCAGTCATCAGTCCATACGCAACATGTCCTGGTACAAAAAGTCGCCATGGAAACACAAAGAAATGGAACGAACCACGTATGAAAGGAATGGTAACGAAATATCGAAGGAAAATGGGGCACAAAGGATCTGAAGTTTCTAAAAAACTGAATGAAAAGGAAGCCTAAAATGCCAACGATACACAATGTTGGTGGGCGAATGTTCGTAGTTTCTTGCTCACTTTACATTGTGGAATTTTAGTATCTTGAAAATACTTTGCAAGACTTTTCACGTGAATTGTAAAAAAAATTTGAAAGTTGCATAGTTACCCATAACTTTTAAATGTAATTCTGTCAAGGTAATTTCTTAAGGACGTATACTTCAGTTTATACATAGGGTTCTCGAGATGATGAGAGTGCTAGGGTGTTCAACTGGCTAAATCAACTTGGATCTAAGATCACACGAAGGTATACTTAACTCAAATTGAACCTAAAATTTGTGTATTATTTACCCAATCCAAACGCAAAATATTTACGACTGTTGAACAATTTCGGAGATATCTAAAACGTAAGCAAACGTAAACCCAGCCCAGTCAAGGGTGGAACTTCTCAATGTGGATGCCACTAATCGTTCTCGTCCTCGTCGGAGTCCTTCAGGCGTGCTCCCCAGTGGACAGCCTGTACGAAAGCTTCCACGAGCAGCTGGTGACGTACCTGCGTCCTGGGGAGCCGCACATCCAGGACGGCCACACGCTGCTCAACATGTTGTACGTCCAAGAACAACTACAGGTCTACTGCCAGCGGCCCACCGCCCTGAGCCTGCGGAACGTCTTCCAGAGCAGTCGCCTGCGCCTGCAGATCGCTGCTGGCGGTGCTTACAGCCAATACAAGGGGGCCACCGTGCGGGAGGTCCACGAGGCGCGCCGCCAGCGGAACGAGTGCTTCGAGGGCAAGCCGCTGGTGGCTGCGGGAGGGGAGCAGCGGATCGTCCAGTTCCCCGCCCACAGTCACGTCTGCTACGGCATCCACACGGACGAGCCGTTCGCCCTCACCCTCGAAGTGGTCGCCTGGGACCCCGAGCGATTGGCGCAGTTCGCCTTCGGCCTGGTGCTGTGGCTCAGCAGTCCCCTCGTGGCGGACTCGCTGCTCAGCCTCTACTGCTCGGCGGCGGCCCTGGGCGCCCACCTGGCCGGCGTGGGCGTGGTCGCGGCCGCCATGCTGGGCTCCGGCGGCGGTCGTCCCCTACGGCTGGAGCCCCTCAAGGGGAACTTCAAGCAGGTGCTCGAGGAGCGGCCCACCCTGGTGGCCCTGGCGCTGGTGGGCGGCGCCTGGTCACTCCAGTCCGCCTGCCAGCGGACCAGCTTCCTGTGGCGGTGCTCGCTGCTGCGCCGCTTGCACTACCGCCTGCTGCGGACCACCTCCTACTGGCTGATCTGCACTGCCTCCGATCACTCGGATTTCGGGCGGACCTGCGTCCTGGTGCTTCTCCCCTGGCCGGAACTCTGGTGGCTGATGAACTGGCTGAAGGGAATATGTGCTCGAAAGACTCGATTGCGAACCGGGAAAGAGCAGCTCCACTCACAAGAGGGCTGTCAAAGGCAGCGAGCTATGGGGGATTCGCAGGACTTTTTGGGGCGACATCCTACTTCTTGGCGGCAGGACGCACAGCTAGTGCAGCCGCAGATTTCTACCAGGTTTTTGGACGGTGGAAGTCACCCTGGGACCATTCAATCCGGTCCTGACCCCGTTTCGTACCATAGAAGTCGCAGTTTAAACAGGACGGACACGACTTTTCGGCGGGAGCAACGAATGCTCGGGGGACGGGAGTACGAAAGTACATCTGGATGTCAGTACTGCTCCGTGGCAAATTCCCTCAATCGACCCTCCACGTGGAACTGCCTCAACAGGCGGTTGACCACCAATGCAACAGAGGATCCCGCCACCCGACCATCAGGTAGCCCAGAGTATAGTCTCTTCCCCAGAAGCTCGACGACCATCGTTTACAGCAACGCCAACTTCTCAAACTCGGAGCCCAGCCCCCGCGATCAATAGAGAAAGTAAAACGGATCGACCAACTTCCAATAAAATGAAACCAAGGAACAGGGATCAACTAAAAGGCTAAGAAGAAAATCGAGAATATTTGAAGCAAAGTTTCAGGAGAATTGCGTGCATTTCAGCGCGAAGACCAAGCGAAATTACGATAATGCTTATGATGTCAAAGCCGACTTTACTTTACTTTTTGGGAAAAATTCGTTTTAACAGTTATTTTCTATCTAAGGGACCGTTGGGGTTTTGGGCAGGCTGAAGTTTATATTTATATTAAATATTTATTATTTTTTATATCTTTATTATTTTCATATATATTTTTTTTTGTATATTTATTTAAAAAATTTAAAAAGGAAATCAAAAGTTCCAGTGGTTTCATGGGTAGCCTTACAATAAATGTATACTAAACGGCCATCGGTGTTTGGTTCTAAAAATGTTTTAAAACAAAACTAACAAGAAAGGAAGCTAGCTTCGGCTTGCCGAAGTCATCAATTATGTCAAACAAAAAGCAGGCTAAACAAATAAAGGCTAGACAAAGTCGATCTGATCAAAAACAACGACGTGAGAATTTTTTTTTCATCCGGCCGATCCGGTCCTTTCCGACTTATATACTGCGTGCAGGGGCGGATTAAGACAATTTGCCGCCCTAGGCAGTTTTGATTTTGCCGCCCTAGACTGCAGCCTAATTTTCAAAAGTAGTATTTTATGTAGTGTTAACAGTCGAAATTTGCCGCCCCTAAAAATTTGCCGCCCTAGGCAGCTGCCTATGTTGCCTATATGGTAAATCCGCCACTGACTGCGTGCAATAACTACACAACTTTTGCGAAATATTCACCAAGACAGCTTTAAAACTGAGAGACTAGTTTACATAAAAACAGACAGACGGACGGACGTATTTCGATTCAGATCGTGATGCTGATTAAAAATATACAATATTTACTTTATGGGGTCTAAGGTGTCTCCTTCACTGCAAACTTCTGACTGAAATTATAATACCCTTTTGCTCTGCAAGGGTATACAAATTCTACTACTATGCAATTTTTAAATTTTAAACCTAACTTTCCTTAATTGTCACCAAGAAAAAACTGGTATCGGAGTCGAGGCCCTTTCTTGTTTTTTTTTTCAATTATCCAGATAATCCGTCGAAATACGTTTTATTGGTTAATACTCGCTGAACTTGAGTCCAAATTGTCGCAGCACACACCCATGCAGCTGCATCCATACTGCTTTTAACTTAATTGTCCTGATTAGCATGCGCCCATGTCTGTTTTGCTCGTTGAAATTTTTGTGCTTTTGACATCCGTTGGCGCATGGAGTTACAAAATAAGAGACTAGCTGGTCGGCGCTATTGCGGGGTTCGGGCGAGAAGTGGGGTACAAATGTGCCTATTACCTCCTCCCCGACAGTTTACCATTAGCCACAGGAGCGGAGGAGGCTCCAATGCAGCTGCAGCAATTGGAACAACAACACAGTTCGGTCAAACGTCAGAAATGTTCGCTCGCTTTGGCTATTGAACGCAGGCCAAAGCGCACTGAGCCACCCACCTTCCCCCTGCTAGGAACAAGTACCAAGGACTACTCCTCCTAAATGGGTAAAAGCGCTTTGACGACCATGTGAATGGAGGCGACTGTGGGGGTGCTGCAGGGAGGGCGACGAATAGGCGAAAACGGACGAGGAGGGCGGAGGACGAAATCACCAGGATGGACAGTTGCCGGGGCAGGCGCAAAACGCAATTCAAATCGAAAAGTGGAACTTCACTCATTTGGCGCGGGGAAAAGGCGGCAGGTAACTAACTAGGGTTCGTCCCTCCACATAAGCCTGATTACAGGGTATCCGAATAGTGGGCTCAATCTGAGGCTGAAAATGCCTATATTTGCATATTTTGGCCAGCCTTGTGTAGTTCATTTCTGTGATTCTTTCCTAACGATTATTTCAAATTCCACAAATCTTACATTTAGTGTACGGTTTATGTGGAAATGAAAAAGTTCACAGTGAACTGTTACAATATAATATTATATTATGATAAACGATAATAGGTAGCTTAAGTGCTCAAATCGACACTTAGATTGACATATTATGCTTCCTTTGCAGTTCTCCTGCTTTGGCACTAGGAAAATTGACTAACCGTTTTTGCATTATGTTTGGTTAGACTTGTACAGGAGGTCGATACCACGATAACTCTAATGTCAAAAAAGTATCCCCAGCTCTCGAAGCTTGGGATTTTTTTATATCAGTAGCATATTTTTTCCAAACTTCGATTTGGTGGTTGGTTTTCTCTCGGGAAAGTGCAACCAGGGGTAAAGTGGGGGTTGTGTTGGGTTTTTGGGTAGGTAAATGTTGGCTAAGGTTGGGTGGTGACGCGAAATTCCACTTGGGATGGTCGCTAAAAGTGCATTTCAGTTCTAGTGTCCCGTTCTGGGATTATGGGGTTGGCTTGAAAAGGTTAGTGACAGGGTGGAATAACAAAAAACATATATAAAATAAAACCTGAAATGTATTTTTCAAGGTGTTACTGGAATTGTTCTCATAATCTAGTCAGAACTCGATTCGGGTTTTAAGTCAGGGCGATTTACAAGTTAGAACTTAAAAGGTAGATCTAAACATCTGTGAGGGTTAGGTAAATACTTTTTTAAAAAACAAATACTTTTCAGTTTTTCTGTGCTCTTTATCATGGCTTCAGTATTTATTGTTAGTAAAAAGTTCCTAAGGGATTCTCTATTTAGTATACTATTGTGTGGAGTAACTTTTATTTAAATAAATTCTTTTGTATTTTACTTTGCGCAACATTGTACAATACAATTTTAAAAACATTGAGATAAGAAAATTGTTTATAATTTTTCTATAATATAGAAAGCCAGGCCAGCATAACTCATATTGTTTGTATTATTAAATCTCGTACTGCAAGGCTGTTCCCCATTAAAAAATTGGAGTCATTACTGACCTGCACCATTTTTTTGTCTCCACGCGAGGGTGTACCGTTAATGAATCCTAATCCAACGATAATACGAAAGCCGGCTGCGTGGAGCCCAAGCAACGGTGATTTGAGCAAGAGTTGGAGAGGGATGCCAGCAAAACAAAACGAAAAGAAGCTACAACTGAACTTAAGACGGCGCACGTGGGAAATTCACTTTTGTTTTAGTTGCGCTTTTATTGCACTGCTTGGTGAATTCATTGAATCTGAGTAACGGAACACGCACACACGCACTCACAAATGCATTGGAAGCATTGCGGGGGTGCAACGAAAATGCGGGGAGCGAAACGAAAGACACGCGGTTCTGATTTGATTTTGCGCGAAATTAATGTTGTATATTAAAGTTGTCTAATCGCACGGTGCTGATTTCAGTTGATTGCGCTGTTTACGCTTCGCACGGAGTTGAGTATTTGTTTTGATATTGTATGCGCCGTCGACCCGAACGCGTGCTGCAGCAGCTTATTTCTATTTATTCCTCTTTTTCGGTCGCGTTCTGAAGTCAGCTGAAAATTTCAGGGCTGCAAAAACATCGGTATCACATATTATCGATGTTTTTTAATTGTTCGATGAATCGATTTTTATCGGGGTTTTCCACCATGGTTCAGTGCATTGTTTTTGGCAAAAGGCTAACAGGGGCAACGTTTGCTATATTTACAGAGTAGTGGCAGAGCAGAGCTTGTAGTCAAGAAAGGAAGGGTTTTGACCCCCCACTTGGAAAATTTTTGACAGCTTTATCCCTTATATGAATCTTAACATTTCTATCAGCAAACTCTTGAATGACCGGTAGCCGAGGTTTTAACTGGTGTTAGCCTGAATTAAAAATAAAAGGAATCTCTTCTGATGTTTTGAAATGAATACGAGGGCTGTCTGATAAATAACCGACCTAACCATGATGCACGCGACTTTTTCCAAATTTTTTTTTTATTTTTCTACATAGTCTCCTTGTAACTCCACACACTTCTCCCAGCGATGCTGCCATCTCTGCAACCCTTCCAAATAATACTTGGCGTCTTTGTCTGCAAAATACGAGTTCACAAAAGAGATTGCCTCCTCATTTGACGAAAATCTCTGTCCGCCAAGCGCAGTTTTAAGTTGAGGAAACAAAAAAAAGTCGCTTGGTGCTAGATCCGGTGAATAAGGTGGATGGTCAAGCAATTCGAACCGCAATTCGTGGATTTTCGCCATGGCAATTGTTGAGGTTGAGATGGTGAGTTGTCCTGGTGAAACAAGACTTTCTTTTTTTTGCAAATGAAGCCGATTTTTTGAAATTTCTTCCTTTAGCTTGTCCAATAATGATGCTTAGTATACTCCTGTTATAGTTTTTCCTTTTTCAAGATAGTCGATAAAAATAATTCCATGGTTATCCCAAAAAACACACGCCATCACTTTCCCAGCCGAATACCCAGCTTTAGCTTTTTTGGGGCCGGTTCCCCCTTTTTAATCCACTGTTTAGATTGCATTTCTGTTTCGGGCGTATAATGATGAATCCAAGTTTCGTCTACAGTTATTAATCGGCGCCAAAACTCGGTCTTATTGCCTTTAAACTGAGCCAACAGAGCGCTGGAAATGTTCATGCGCGCACGTTTTTGGTCCAGCGTAAGCAAACGCGGCACCCAACGCGCGGACAGCTTTCTGATGCCCAAATCTTGGTTTAATATGTGACAAAAACGTTTTTTTGACATCTTCATAATCTTAGCTATTTCCCTAACTTTAATCCGGCGGTCGTCTAGTACCAATTGAAGAACTTTACCGATGTTATCGTAAGTGGTTACAATTTTTGGACGCCCCGAACGTTCATCGTCTTCCAGGCTCCTACGACCACGTTTAAATTCAGCTGCCCAAAATTTTACGGTGGTAAACGATGGTGCAGAGTCACCATACACAGAGTCCAACTCATTTTTGATATATGTAGACGTATTGCCTTTAAAAAAAAAAAATTTAATTACAGCTCGATATTCAATTTTTTCCATTTTGGGGAAATCACCGAAATAGGCGCACAAAAGCGACTGCCAACAGATAATTGCGCAAGATAAATTTCTGAAATTTTGGGGAGTAGCTATTATAATATGCACAATTTGAAATATAAACTTTGTTTTGAGATGTGCCGCTAGCTTCACGTTGAGGTCGGTTATTTATCAGACAGCCCTCGTATATGTAAATAAAACTTGTGGTACTAGCTGATATACAGTTTTGGTATTTCCAATCCTAATCCTAATCATAATTGCACCGTGTTTTTGGATACAAAAAAAAATCTCAGTTAAATAAAGGTAATACATGCGCAACATTAATTTAATCATTTCAATTAAGATTTAAACTACATATTAAGAATTAAAAATCAAAATCATTCGTAATGATCCTGATTTTATATTTAATATTTAATATTATCTAATATATTTTGGATCTGGTTGGAATACAATATTGTTCCAGACTTTTGTAATGATTCATTGTTGTTCAATTGCTGCTTCTCTAAATTGAATCCTCCCTTATAAAAGAATTGGTGCACAAATGTAAATCGTTCATTATTTTTTAATCCTTTGTATTATTGTTTCCAAATTCTAATTTTCAATTTTCCAATCGTATAAAAATTCCTTTAGTGGATTAGAAATATTTCGTATTCAATTTGAATATAAAGGAAGTCTTTAAATTTTGCAATAAAGCTTCCGTATATATTTTTTTGAAGTGAAACTTCTTTAGGCGCGTTATGGATTTTCGGGGACGGAGTAAAACCGATTCATGACCGTCACGAAAATTACCGTCACGAAAATTGCCGTCACGAAAAAGCGAGGATCCCCATCCCTTTCTAACCGCTGACGAACGATGTCTCTATCCTCCTCTATCCTTTCTCGCTCTCAGCGCGCTCGCACAAAGTTGCAGTTGAAAAAGGGGTGAGAGGTGTGAATGTCAAAAGGAATTCAAATCGAACAGGTTGCATACAGATATTAATTGGCACCATAATTTCTATCCATTTTATTTGACCTAGAAATGAAAACACATATCGATATGTATTTGTCTTCTTCTTCTTCTCAATCGGTTTGTTAACTTTTGAGAGTCGCCAGCACATTTCGAGACCTCTAAAATGAAGCGTATAATAAGGCTTTTATTCGGTTTCCTACAGAATTTCAATTTTAACAAGAAAGGAAGCTAGCTTCGGCAAGCCGAAGCTTATATACCCTTGCAGTCATCAAATATGTCGAACTAAATACAAAAAGGCTAAACAGTATCGAAGCTATGACGATTTTTCTATTCATTTTCCGTATTTTCGACTATTGTTCAAATGTCGACTATATGATATAGTTGTCCGATTTTGATCAAATTTAATTCGTAATTCAAGAGTCGTAAGAAAACTCTATATTCCAAAAATCATACTTGTCTGATAAAAAAACAACGATGTTATAAATTTGTTTCCATTATTTCGATATAAATTTTTCGATCTTTCCTATGGCAGCTATAAGATATAGATGACCGATTTTTATGAAACTTTTTTCTCAATATAAACGTTGTTAAAAAACTTGATATTCAAAAAATCATGGGATAAAAAACAACGATGTTATCAATTTATTTCCATTAATTCTATATATAATTTTCGATCTCTCCTATGGCAGCTATATGATAGAGTTATCCGATTTTGATCAAATTTAATCCGAAATTCAATAACAGTTAGAAAACGCCATCTTGAAGAATTCAAGTAGATCTGACGAAAAACACCGGCGTGAGAATTTTTCATTTCATTCCCTCGTATGGGAGCTATCCTTTATAGTCGGCCGATCCGGCCCGTTCCGACTTATATACTGCGTGCAATAACTACACACCTTTTGGGAAAGTTTCAGCAAGATAGCTTTAAAACTGAGAGACTAGTTTGCGCGGAAACGAACAGACGGACAGATGGACAGACGGACAGACGTACAGACGTATTCCGATTCTGCTCGTGATGCTGATCAAGAATATATATACTTTATGGGGTCTGAGGTGTCTCCTTCACTGCGTTGCAAACTTCTGACTGAAATTATAATACCCTTTTGCTCTGCAAGTGTATAAAAATGAGTAGTGATGAAGAAGTTTCACTTCTGTCGTGCGTAGGCTGGACACACCCCTTTTTTTTTTTTAATTTTTGGACCTAAAAGTTGGACCGAGTATTCTACATAATACACATATTTGTCTGACCTTTTAAAGTAAATTACTACAAGGAACTACAATAAATTTAAGCTTTGTTAAAATGTTAAAGTGATATACATTTAAAATAAAATAAATAAAAGGTAAATAAAAAAACATTTCTAGATTTGTTGTATATCACTTATTTCCGATTAAGATTATTTACGAATTATTTTATGATTAAAAATCTGATTCGAACCTAATGCATAAGGACTGTCTTCGGCGGATATTTGGGATTCAGGGTCGACAAACTATCTCTTTGTATTATTACAAACATCTTAAGGGTTAAATTCGACAAAATTTCCCCTTATCCTGCCTTTAAACTTTAAAGAGAACACTGTTTAAAAACTTTCTAATGCTTATCTATTTCACAACATCCAAAGGTAGCCTTTACTTAGAGGATTCCAGTTTGAGAGCGCTCCAGCAGGTGACTCAGAGCAACCGGCTGCCAGTTGGTGAAGCTTCCATCGCTGAGCATGCACACATGGCGATCGATGTAGCAGAAGAGCTTTCCCACGCGGTAGATCTGTCGAGCAAAGAAATCGAGGATTAGCAGAATTCCTATTTAAAATGCCACTTCCAGTCACCTGTTTGCCCATCTCCCGCCTCCCCGGAAGCGGAGCGAAGATAATGCCCAAGTCGGCGCACTGCTGCGAGACGAGCTCTTTGAACTCCAGCTGGGCGGGCGGATGGATCAGGTCCATCATCATCACAGGGGCCGGCGGAACTGGCGGCGGGGGCGTGGGCGAGACCGTGGGCTGCAGCAGGGCGTCGCTGGCGCGGTGCATCATTTCCAGGGCGCGGCGCAGGTGCTCCTTGACGCTGGGCTCTCGGAGGAGCGGCTCACTCAACATGCCCTTCCAGCCGGTGTACCAGCGCGATATCTCCGCGTAGTCGGGGGACTGGTTCAGCCAGACCACGAGCACCTGCATCCAGCGCGGGAAGAAGTGCCTGTCGAGCAGCTGGGCCATGTACATGGGCCCGATGAGCTCGTGCCACTCCCACACTTGGTGCCAGAGCTCCAGGTCCTGGTGCAGCGGATTGATGACGAACTCGGCGAGAGTCGCCTGCAGCTTCGGCACGATGTGTCGCTGCAGGAACTCCTGCATCTCCTCCTCGGGGAAGGCCTGCTGCCAGGGCGTCAGCATGGCCCTAGCGGAGCGGTCCTGCGGCGACCAGGCACGCAGGGCCACGCCCAGCTTGCTGCGGATCTGCGGGTAGACGGCCTCCTCCAGCTTGCTGCCCAGGATGGCGTGCCAGGGCAGCACCCAGCTGTCGATGGGCACGGTGTCGGTGAGGGGGTCCCACTCCTGGACGCCGGCCACCAGCCGCGGCAGCACCAGCTGCTCCAGCACCGAGTCGAGCACCCAACTGGGCAGCAGGGGCGCCCAGGCGTCCAGGAGCGCGGCCATGGGCGGGTGCTCCTTGGGCTGCCAGGCGGCGGCACTGGCCCGGAACGAGGGCATCACCCCGGCCCAGATCAGCGAGGAGTACGGGTCGAAGACGTTGCGGGGCTGCTGCTCGGCGGGCTCGCCCTTCTGCAGCATCGCGCGCCACTTCTTGACCAGTGGCAGTGGCTCCGTAGGGTGCTCCAACGGCTGCCACGGGACCAGCTCCCTTTTCACGAGCGGTGCTATCACGCCCGCGGCCAGGTCGGCCAGGCCAAACTCCTGGAACTCGGCGGAGTAGTCCTCGAGCAGCTCCCGAAACAGGCGTTCCGCCTGCGGCAAACTCAGATCCGGGTTCTCGCTCAGCCGCTCCACTCGGTCCAAGGACTCCTCCAGCGTGCGGATGTGGTTCCGCTCCAGCTGCACGATCTCCTCCAGCTTGCGGTGCTCGCTCTCCAACGCCGCCTGCTGGCTGGAGCACTCGCGCTCCTGGTTGTCGATGGCGATGATCTGCTGCTCGCACTGGCTCACCAAGAGCTGCAAATTGTGCGTCAGTTCGGGCATGGCAAACACGCAGACGGGCGCGGCTCCCTTCTCCGCCGGTTCCGCGTCGTACAGCGTCTCCTCCGGCGTGATCTTGGCCTGGCACAAGGCATGGTAGCCACTCAGCACCCGCTTCTCGGGGCCCGTCATGTCTATCACCGGCACGTTGCCCAGCTTCTTGCTCAGCTTTTCGGAGAGCAGGTGGCTCGACGTGTGGCCCTTGGCGATCACTTCCTCTACGGACTTGTAGTAGTAGCGCTTTCCCTGCCTCTCCTGAGGATCGGCCCCGGTAGCAGATCCCTTGCGCCACTTGTTCAGCTGGTCCTTGAACTCCTTGGCCTCGCGCACGTCCTCGTCCGGCTTGATGCTCTTGGCGGCCTTTCCGCCGACACTGGCGGCCGTCTCGGGCCCATAGGCGCCGATGGCGCCCCTGCCCTTGCGCACGTGCGCCTGCACCGGCTGCGAGATGCCCTGCAGGTCCTTGCCCAGTCCCTTGCCGGGCTCGTAGCCCATCTGGAGGAGCAGCTTGGCGCCGATGCCGCGCGTGTGCTGCTCCCAGGCGCCCACGTTCCTCTCGCTGGCGATGTGCGAGCGATGCTGGAACTGCGTGGAGCCGATCTGCTTGCGACTTAACGAGGGTCTCTCTTCCTCTGAGGAGCTGTTGGAGCTGTTCGGGTCGCTCTGGCCAAAGGCCGGACGTCCACTGGCCGCGGAGTCGTCGCTTTGCGCGTCCTGTTCCGCCCCCGCCTCCTCCCGCTGGGATCCTCCCTCGCCCTCAGGCTTTAGGGCCTTTTTCTTCTTCTTGCCCGCCTGCTGAATACCGCCGGCCACAAAGCTCACAGGCATGGTGTAATCCTTTGGCTTCCGGGTGGAGCGCCCCCTTCGGGTGCCACCGCCCTCGCCACCGCTCTCTTCCTCGCTGTCATCCGCCCAGATGCCTGCGGATAGAAACTGGCTAATCAAATCTGGCAATAACGCCGGAACCTCTCACTTACCGTAGATCTGCTGGTGTCTGCTCTGCCGTCCGCGCGGCCGGTTCACATTGAACTCATTGTCCAGGTCGTAGTCCGTTATCTCAAAGCGTTCGTACTCGTTGTCTGACATTCTTTTACAGGTAGTATTCGTCCTGATTTTCGGAAAAAAATGTCTGATTTTGTAAACAAAAATATTCGATTGGTGATGGAGATGGAACCGGCTGCAAATTAATCGGCACGCCGGCACTATCGATAAAAGTCTATCGAATAACAAAGTACGCCAAAGGGCGCCAAACCCGATTTAAATGATTTCCTAATACAAAAAAGGTAGCTAACTGAAAAAAGTGTTAAGTGATCTTTCCAGGTTGTCAACATACATACATATATGTAATTTTGACTTTGATTACCGCTAGAATATACAGATTTCACAAGCAAGCTAAAACTGCAAGGGAAATGTAGATTTTTGTTAGTCGTAAGAAGCGCTGGCTTTTTAATTTACACACACCTTTTACGCCACACCCGCGGAATTCTGTGGAGCCCACAGTTTTATACCCAGCGAGGGGCGTTTTCAAAATTTGCCACACCCACAATGTACGGCCTGTACGCCTTTCTGTCCAATTGAAAGTCAATATCTAGAAAAGTTGTACTGCAGCTAAACGATAAAGCCGTCTGACTTTTATAAAAGTCAAAATTTAGAAATTGTTAAAAGTTTCTGTACAACTATTAGTCTTTACATTTTAAATTGGTTTTTTGGTTTTATTTCTTTGGAAGCTTAATGATATAAATGTCCGATAACAAAACCGACTAACTAATATCCGTGTTACGGCCGTCAATCTAACTGCTTTAAAAACAGTTAGGTGTGTTATCAGTTGATTAAACCGAATAACTGATATGATAACGTCGATTCCAAGCGGATAGGCAAACACCTCAATCTCAAAATTCCTACTTGATAACTAGTTGGATAAGATCGTCGCACTAACTACGTTTGTTTCTGGCAGGCCGCTTTGCTTGGCCTGCATTTAGTCTCATTCAATCAATTGCTATCGGTTGTTCTGTACACCTTTTGATTATATTTAACGGTCGCGCTATGAATAAAATAAAAATATTTACTTTTTGGTGAATGAAATAATAAAGTGAGATCAGCAGAAGCGGATTATTGATTTGTAATTGAAAACAAGAAAGAAAGATAGCTTCGGCAAGCCGAAGCTTATATGCCGTGGTAGTCATAAAATATAATATGTCGGACAAAATGCATAAAGGCTAAACAACATCTTCCATATTTTCGAATATTGTTCATATGGTAGCTATATGATATAGTTGTCTGATTTTGATAAAATTTAATTCGTTATTCAAGAGTCGTTAGAAAACTTTATACTCCAAAAATCATGCTTGTCTTAGGAAAAAAAACGATGTTATAATTTTATTTCGGTTATTTCTATATAGATTTTTCTATCTTTCCTAACGTTTGTTAATGAAAACCATGCTCGTTCAATAGTAGTTAGAAAACGCCATCTGGAAGAAATCAAGTCGATCTGATCAAAAACAACGGCGTAAGAATTTTTTATTTGATTTTCTCGTATGGGAGCTATCCGATATAGTCGGCCGATCGGGCCCGTTCCGACTTATATACTGCGTGCAATATCTACACAACTTTAGGGAAAGTTTCAAGATAGCTTTAAAACTGAGAGACTAGTTTGAAGAGAAATCGGACCGACGGACCGACGGACAGACGTACAGGCGTTTTCCGATTCTGCTCGTGATGCTGATCAAGAATATATATACTTTATGGGGTCTGAGGTGTCTCCTTCACTGCGTTGCAAACTTCTGACTGAAATTATAACCCTTTGGCTCTTCAAGGGTATAAATATGTGATGCTTTAGATTTTAAAAGCAGACAAGCAAAAAAATTATCTAATATAATACATATATGTATTATAAAAAAATAATGTGTTATAAAAATAGAATATATAATTGTTTTTTGTATTAATGACTGCCAGGGTATGTATACAAGTCAGTTCGGGAAATAAGCGCTGTTTCTGAAAGGGCTTGCAATATTATAGAAAACGAATCGTAGACATATGCTTTTGTGTTTTATAGTTACCTAATTTTGTTACTATTAGTTCGTACGTTTAAACATTCAAATTGAAAACCAACAAACCTTATGGGGAGTCATTTAAGGCCTTCATCATAAAATATTATTTTGGCCAATCACTGACATGCGACTATTTCAATCCTAAGCGCTGTACATCCATAAATGTGTTCATTTTTATCAATGAGTATAAATCATGCCATCGTTTGCTACATAAAAGGAGGGAATAATTTTTGTTTGGGAAAGCCCGTTGTCGAAGACTTTTTACCACGGGAGCACTTAATGTGGGATCTTATCAGATGAGTACAACAATAATTAGGGATTATACAATCGAAAGGTAAATAGGCCTTTTCCAACCCAAAGCTCCTGTTGCGGTGCCATTCGTTTACGAGTTCTGAAACCAGTTCAGCAAATCGTTTTACTGACGGAAGTTCCCAACTTTTTCTCTTGAATTTTAGTTTGTATCTAAAACACTGTTTGGCAGAGAAGTGTTCCGTTTTTTGTGACCCGAAAACTGAGGAAATCCTGGCTCCAAGTTCCTGATCTCAACATGGTGGTGTTAAACTGCGGGAACAAAAGATATATCCGCCTGTGGCTAGTCCTCATACTCCTCAGTAGTGCGCTGCTGCTCATCTGGAGAAACCTGCAACAGGCTCAGATGCTTTCACGGGCTCCCGAGCTCGGGAGTCTCATTGGGGTTCCCCCAGACCTTCCCGCCGACAGCTACGAGGAGTATGTGGAACTGCCAGGGATCGCCCGCCGGGAGGACTCTCCCCGGACCCGGGACCTGCAGCTCCTGCTCAAGTGCCGGAACCGATCGCTCCGGTTCCAGCGGCTTCAGCACGGCGATTACTGGCTGCTCCAGAACCTCGTTATTGGCCGAAAGAGCCGGCATGTTGGCTGCGCCGAGACTGTGACGTACACCACCAATGGGGACTTTACGTTCTTCGATAATCTGGAAACGGTGGTCTCGCGGTGAGTACTCTGCAAATAAATGCTTATAATTGCGCACAGAAAGATTATTGACATGGGCTGTTCCCACTTGTAGTGCGATACAGAAACAACCCACTTAACATTAACTGATAAGGCTTTCGATTTCAAGATAAAGGCTTTTTATAGAAAACAAACTAACTTATTTCTGTGGAAACCTCGTAACTCAAAACATTATGAATATTCTCCAAACACTAAAGAGGCAAAAAAAAAAGGTGAGGAGGTGCGCATTTAAAGCACAAAAGTCCTGATATCGAATTTTTTGATAAGAAAAAAACAAACAATCGAATCAGCCAAAAAAATATATACAAAAACTTTAATTTTTTGTTAATTATCGCATTGTACAGGATGGTACGGTTCATCTGAGTCGAAAATTAATTCCGTAAAAATGATGCAAAACAAAAAAATTTATTTGGCTGTGCTATATCATATATAATATCATATATAATAATAATATAATACATATTCAAAAATCTTAAAAAGAAACGCATACATTTAATAGTCAATGCAATTTTAATTCTTAATATGTATATTAAATATACAAAATAATGTACTTTATGATCAGATCTGTCCACCATTCTTACCTGCTTATTCCGTATTACACCGATTTCTTTTGCAGTTGGCGTGCTCCTGTGAGCTTTGCCATCCATGCACCCGGATACGATATGAACACCGCCCTCGATGCGATTCGGTACGTGAGAAACTGTTTGCCGGGAAGCGAGGTCATAAAAGACTGGGTCACCTTTCACGTGTACTTCCCCAACCGCCACATGCCGGAGTACGTACCGTACGGGGAGCACAGGGCCCTGGGCCAGCCGTATGCCTGCACCCTGGCCAACGGAACCCAGGTCCCGCCGCCCTACGCCCTCGTCCCCCGCAGCGAGAGCTACAAGGCGAGGGCCAACCTCAGCTACCCCATCAATGTGGGCAGGAACATTGCGCGGCAGGCGGCCACCACCCACTTCGTGTTCGCCTGCGACATCGAGTTGTACCCCAGCCTGGGCTTCGTTGACCAGTTCCTGGACATGGTGGCCAGGAACCACAGTGTCCTGGCCCTGGACCCCAAGCAGCCGAGGAGGGTCTACCCGCTGCCCGTCTTCGAGGTCGAGTCGGGGGCGCCGGTGCCCAAGGACAAGGCCGAGTTGCTGGCCCTTTTTGGCAGCCAGCGGGCGCAGGTGTTCCACCTGAAGCTCTGCCCCACGTGCCACATGATTCCGGGCCAGAAGGAGTGGCTCAATCAGACTTCCCGCGAAGGGGAGCGACTGCACGTGTTCAGCCACGCCGTCCGGAGAAACAAGTTCCGTGCCTGGGAGCCCTTCTACGTGAGCGACAACACGGAACCCTTTTTCGACGAACGGGTCACCTGGGAAGGACAATCCAACAAGCGAATACAGGTGATAATTCAAAAAGATAAGAGTGCGCTCTTGGGACACTTGTTTGTTAAAAACTAGGTCGGTAACTCATTCAATAAATAGGGAACGGCGAAGCTGGCTAGGTATGTTTTTCTGCATAGGTAGCGTACTATACTCCGTTATTTAAAAACAATAAAGGAAAAAATATTAAGCGGTATAGTTCTTTTTAAATAGGATCCTAAATATGGTATAATTATGCATACCAATTGATACAATCCATATTTAGTGATTTTTTTATTGTTTTGATGGTTAAGTAAAGATATTATTTTTTTACTATGTGATGTAGGTATTCTTTCCCGACAGTTGTAATGTACTTGCAATAGCAAACATCGTTTCTAAAGTTTCAGCGTTAGCTAATGCTAACATTAATATTGAGAGATTAAATCGATAGAAACAGACTAACAGGTCTGTTTAATGCTTTGAAAAGTAACTGACATTATAATTCCCTCTGTACAGTATGTACAGTTTCCTACGCAAACATGTTATGTTAGTTATATTTTATGTTATGTAGTTTAAACGCTTGATTAAGAAAATTTTATAAGCTCCTTCGAAAATGTTTTCAAAAAAGAAAACACCAACCGAGTAATGCTCCATTAGTCCTAGAGTCTTAGTCCTAAAGTTTCACTTTTTTATTTCCAGAATTATGCCATGTGCCTGTTGGGCTACGAATACCACGTTTTAAGTCCGGCGTTTTTAGTTCACAGTCCCGGCATTAAGAAGTTTACCAAAAGTGACTCTGTTCGTCTTAAACTCGCGAAAGATATGACTAAATTTATCAAGGACAAAATCGAACCCGAGTATCGTGTCCTGTTCGGACGAAATTCTGCCTGCAAGACGTGACATTCATTTGTTATAAAAAACAGAGTAAACATTATTACGAACCGAATTGCCTTAAATACTGCAACTATATTTATCTTAGCATTTTATGTGAGTCAGACTAAAGAAAATCCGTGACTTAAGCTTTAGAATATACGTAGGATATTAGCTATAATAGTTAGGTATTTTACATTAAAATTTTAATTTTTAAGACTCAAATTTTACATTTTGTTACTAATGGCTATTTCGTCACTATTTGCTCTCTATTACTAAGTGTTGGACGATTAAAATACACAATAACACATGTCGATTTTACTGTAACTTATCTTTTTTGAATTATAGTGTTCATTTCAGCAAAACTAAATTCATATTAGTTAATACAAAGTGGATGTGATAATTTTTCTAGTTTTCGATGCGAAATGCGGGATGAATTGAAAATTAGCGGCTAAGGTGAATTATAGCTACATATTTTCAAAAACACCCGGTACCTTCTTGTATTTTTATGTTTTACTATGCCCCACTATAATAACTTGCAATATTTTTGCATTGGAATGGTAAAAAACATCAATATTTTCTTACTAGTTATATAATATTACCATCTGGGTATTTCACAGTTTTCGAAACGACCGCTTGTAAGAATTAAAATGCCAAAAATGTATAAGCAAAAACCGAGTCATGTCTGGATGCAAGACCCCACATTTAAGGACTGGTTAACTATAGATGATCAAAAATGCTTTTGCAAATATTGCAAATCTATCATTAATGCAAAGCCTTGCGATTTGCACGCAAGAGGCGGCAAACGAACTACTCAAAAATACTTAATAAATAAATCAAATTAATAAAATATCGTTTCACTAACATAGCTTTTTATTTTAGCTACCAACCAAATTTTCTCGCGGTTTCTAGCTTTTTTCATATGTCCCTTTAGCTTTATATGACCAGAAGAGTTGGCAACACTGTGCGAGAAAGCTATAGTGAGAAAGATTGAACGAAATTGAGATTTTAATGCAAAATTGTTAGGCACCTAATGTCTCACTACCCTGTGCAATATTATAACTGAAAGCCCTATAGTTCCGATAAAAATTAAGTTTCAATTTTATCGTATGTTACAATGTGCGCGCGAAATTATCGTATGTCCATACAATTTTTTTTCATTTGCATGGAAATACTGCAATCGCACAAAAATACCGAAACACAAAAATAAAGAAAAAGCTTCTCCTGTAAAATTTGATTTTTCAACATACGATACATTCGTGGAAATGCGTCGATATGATGCATGTGGAGTATTCGATACGTCTACCAGACCATGATTGGGTGGGTAGTCGCGCCATCTCACAAGCTAATTCCATCAGTCTATGCCGAGATTCAGATCGAAGGAAATATGTTCGGGAATTCAAAAGCAGTAAGATACTCACGACCCACTTTTTTAGCTTTAAGATCTGGAAAACAACATTCATCAACCGCCCTATTCCATGTATTGGATTTCCAAAAAATTTTGACTTTGGCAGAGTTCCACGACATGACTAAAGTCAAAAGTTATCATTTTCACCGTGGATGGAGCACCCGACGAGAATCCTCGATACGCAAAAGTTGTGGCAACAAGGATTCACCATTTTGTCCAGCATTATTTAGATGCATTGTATGTAAATTTTTTTCGGGTAATGCACCAGGGCGAAGTGCGTTCAATAGAATTGAAAGACGCATGGCGCCTTTGAGCAAAGAATTAGCTGGAGTCATTCTTCCTCACGAAATTATGGGAGTCATTCGAATAATAGTGGAAAAACACCAAAAAAGAAGAAAACTTTGCTTTCGCTGGTGAGACTTTAGCAGAAATTTCATCCAACACTGTAAATGACAATTTTCCTGTAATGAGCGAACATGTGCCTCTAGAATGTGATCTAGAGCAAAAAGCTCAGCATTAGCATGACAATCACGTGCGATCTAGTCAGAATTTCTTACAAATTGTAAAATGCCATGATAAAAATGTGGGCAACACAACCTCGAAGTTCTATATTCAAAATTTTGCCAAACCGTTTCTTACCTCCGTTACCAGTTGCTCAAAGTGACAGCGGGCTTGGTTTTTCCGAAAGTGATGGAAAGTTTCAATCGTTGTTCGTTTCAGAGACTTTAAAAACTACGATTTAAAATCAAGATTTCAATTCATTAAAGGAAATTCCGTACGATTATTTTTGCCATCAGTCAAAAAAACTAATAATCGTAAAATTTGCCCGCATTGCCAAAAATTGGCGTTACGAGGTATATGGACGGCCCCTAAAACAAAAATTCGAAATAGCATGAGCGTTGAAACGTTGAACGCTACAATAAGTATAAGGTCCATATTTAAATTTATTTTTATTTTATACCCTTGCAGAGCAAAAGGGTCCGTCTGTCCTCCTGTCTGTTTCTACGCAAACAGTCTCTCAGTTTTAAAGCTATCTTGCTGAAACTTTCCCAAAAGGTGTGTAGCTTTTGCACGCAGTATATAAGTCGGAACGGGTCCGATCGGCCGACTATATCGGATAGCTCGCATACGAGAGAATGACTTGATTTCTTAAAGATGGGGTTTTCTAACTATGTTCTATTGAATTTCGGATAAAATTTGATCGAAATCGGATAACTCTCTCATATAGCTGCCATAGGAGAGATCGAAAAATGTATATCGAATTAATGGAAATAAATTGATAACATCGTTGTTTTTAATCCCACGAGCATGATTTTTTTAATATCAAGTTTTTAAACAACCCTTACTGAAATAAAAGTTTCATAAAAATCGGTCAACTATATCTTATAGCTGCCATAGGAAAGATCAAAAAAACTATATAGAAATAACGGAAATAAATTTATAACATCGTTGTTTTTCATCAGACAATAATGTTTTTGGAATATAGAGTTTTTTAAATACTCTTGAATTACGAATTAAATTTGATCAAAATCGGAAAACTATATCATATAGCTGTCATATGAACAGTAGTCGAAAATATGGAAAATTAATACAAAAATCGTCATAGCATCGATGTTGCTTAGCCTTTATGCATTTAGTTCGACATATTTGATGACTGATGACTGTATATAAGCTTCGGCTTGCCGAAGCTAGCTTCCTTACTTGTTAAATTAGAAATTAATTTATTTAAAATTTTAGGTATGGGCTGCTTCGACACAATAAGTGCAATCTACCACCCAGCTGCCTATGATACCGATAATATAAAAGTTGTCTTAAGTATTAAGTATTGAACTGGTGGTTTATTAATGAAAAACATACAGCACATTGCTTTAAAAAATTCAGCTTTTTTCTTAACTTTGTATAAATATTTATATTAAAAAAAAAAAAAAAAATTACCATTCTAATTCGAGCAAAACTTTCACATTAAATTTGGTAAATCAATTCCTTTATACATTATTAGATCAAATAGGCAAACTAGAGGCTATGCAGAAGTAAGCAAGTTTATTATCCTAAAGCAGGAGGATAATGCTATTGTTGTTTGCTGATGACGGCATAGCCCCAATTCATGATAAATTTTGGCTAGCTGTAACTTCGTAAAACATTTTTTTTTAATTTCAATGGATTAGTATATTATAAAGCTAAAACTTTATGAACATAAAATTTGAACAGAGAGCATCACTGTTAAGCTGTCAACTGTTAAAGTCAGCTGGTATTCCAACAATATAAAAGTGCACGTTTGCGCACTTTCTTCAAAATACGTTTTTAGGTGCTTATCCTGCTGTCAGGATGTCAGAAACAAAATGCAACGGAAACTGCTATTTTAAATTTCTTAAAAGCATCTTTCTAAGCATAATGAGAGCATATAAGTTAAAAAGATTCAATGTATTTTCTTTAGAATTTCCGATTACTGTTTCAAATCAAAAAGTAATTTAGCAGAGATCGAGAGAAGACATTGCACCCGACTGTTCGCCAACATTTGTTACGATAGAAAAAAGTTTGGGACCATGAACAATAAGTATTTTTGTAGTTGCTATTACAGCCCAATTTATCTTCAATTAAAAAATTTAAATTTTCATTAAAAAAAATGGCAGGACAACTTAGTTTTGTTTAAATAGTATTTTTATTTACATATTTAGGCAGCTTGCCGCCTCAGTATTTACGCGTTTATTCCTATCTCAGTTCACCACCATACCATCATCATCAGCCTATTGACATTTACTGCTGGACTTTAATAATAATTTTTGACATGCGATTTCAATGAGTATAAGAGGGATGCATTTGTTTTCTATTTTTTTTCCATTAGAGCTTTAACGTCGACATCGATTTTAGTCACCTTTAACTGTAATGAGTTCGATACGTCCAATCGATTTCGTTATTTAGTTTTTATGTTAACCAAGGCTGAAAAGCCCACTTCACATGACAGCTAGAATTTTGTCAATCGCTTGCGAATAAAAGTATTTCTCAGTGATATACTTTCTGATAAATTGATAAGCTCTTCACTTGCTTTTGTTGACATTTCAGTTGGTATGTTGTCTTTAAATGGATTACAAATCCAGTTCTTCGTGTCGAACTTCCTCATCTCTTCCCCGAAGTAGGCATCAAAGTTATTTTTCAACTGTGTTAAATGACTGGAATTAGCAGACACTACATTGACACCAGGCTGTACTTCGATTTCTATAATAAAAGTTTCAAATGTTTTGAAACAAGAATAAAGTGCCCACAACATTTATTCGTACACCCTATATTTTTAACTTCATGCTTCTGAAACTAGGTTTATATTAACGTAATTAAATCAAAACTTTATTGAACAATGAAAAGTAGTATTTTTCCAATCCAGATAAAACTAAATTAATTAATTTTCAAAACAAAAGAAATTTTCAAAAACAAAAAAAAGGCACTTTTTTATGCAAAAAAAGATATTCGTACAGTTAGAAAATAAAAAAATTGTATTAATGAAATCTGATGCAAATCTTCTTTCAATATTTTGTTGGACCACCTTTGGCCTTAATGACTGCCTCTAAACGCCGACGCATGCTTTTGACCAAACGTTTGGTGTCATCAGCCGATATTTTTTTCCACTCAGTTCGAATGGCTCTTTCTAGAGTGGCCTTTGATGTTATTGAGTGTTTTCTGATCCTGCGCTCCATTAAATCTCAGATGTGTTCAATTGGATTCAAATCCGGTGACTGCGGTATGGTTTTTTATTGCTTGCAGCCACTCTTGTAGCCACTCTTGTACGAGATATGAAGTAGAGCTGCAAAAAAATCGATAGTACCATCGATAATATCGATGGTTGGCCGCCGGTCACCGACTTCGATATTTGTTGTTGTGGTTCCTTAAAAATGAAGCAGGAAGTGAAGCATGGTGTGGAGCAGGATGT